TTGGTAGGAGGGGGGGGTGGCTACTACTACTACTACTACTACGACTACTACTACTACTACTACTACTTATACTTACTACTACTACATACTACTACTACAACTACTACTACTTACTACTACTACTACTACTAGTACTAGTACTAGTACTAGTACTAGTACTAGTACTAGTACTAGTACTAGTACTACTACTACTACTACTACTACTACTACTGCTGCTACCTACTACTGCCACCACCACCACCACCACCACCACCACTGCTACTTCTTCTGCTACTGCTACTGCCGCTGCTACTGCTACTGCTACTGCTACTGCCACGACTACTACGGCTGGAGCTAGTGCTGGTACTATAGTGCTAGCTACGTCTACTTTTACCACCGCCAACTGCCCGCACTACGTGCCACGACCCTTACCACTATCACTGCCGCAACCTTTGACCAACATCGCTCTAGCTACAGCCACCGCTATCGCTACCATTACCACAAACCACTGCAAGTACCGGTACCACCGGTACCACCAGTACCAAAAGTACCACCAGTACCACCAGTAACCAGTAACCAGTACCGCCAGTACCGCCAGTACCGCCAGTACCGCCAGTACCGCCAGTATCATCAGTACCACCAATACCACCAGTACCACCAGTACCACCAGTACCACCAGTACCACCAGTACCACCAGTACCACCACACCACTACCGCGACCACCGTCACCACCGCCACCACCGCCACCACCGCCACTGCCGCCACTACCACCACTACCACTACTACCACCACCACCATCACCGCTACCTCCACTGCTTCCATTACCACCACTAGCACCACTGCCACAACTACCACCACCACTACTATCAAACGCTGCCGCCACTACTACCCGGACTACCCACCAAGTAGCCACTGGCTACTAGCCACATTTTCATCATCTCGATTGAAGATACAGCAGAGATAGTAGAAGTAGATGCCAAGTATGGCTGTTCTGCGGATGGTAGTATCCCGGTGAAAACTGCAAGGTAACCAGCCATTAGCAGTGACAGAACGTCCAATCCGTGCACCAGGTCTTGCCGAGTTGGTCTGTTTCATGGCTGCGCAAAGCAAAGCAGCAGGAGAGTCTGCTGCTGGATTGTGTGTGTCTTGAGCCCTGCAAGCTTGAAGAGACTGCTCTGTAGGTAGTTCGTATTGTGGTGGTAACCACCAGAAAGTGTTGTCGTCTTTTTGCATGCAGAGGAGCTTGCCAAACTCTTCCAACAGCACGGAGAGCAAGAGGCAGAGAAACAGAAATCGTGACTGGGATACCGGAAGTCCGACGCCGAATGATCGTGGCCAGGACGACTTGCTGTGGGCACGGTTTGCGCAGGTTCGTGGTTAGTTAGGGTCACATGCTGGTTGCTGCTCCGGTTGCAGCCGGTGACTGCCGCTGACCTTTGCGAGGCGTTGGAGGTGCAGAAGCAGGTGTGCGGATTACAGGCGCTGTGGCTCCAGGGCTTGAGCCGTGTTGCAGTTCACCGAGACTGATGCATGCGTCATGTGTTGTGCTTGTTTCTGAAGCGGAGGCTAACTCAGACATTGCAGGCGACCGAGGGTGCAAACGCCGCGGCTGTCAGAAGAATCCCGTGCTGTTGGAGAGGCCTCTTCCGCCGTGTCGCCGAGTTGCTGAAAGATCCCGCAGCAGCCGCAGCTCCAAATTATGAGCTGACGTGCGATACGTGCTTTGGCTCTTCTCCGAGGCCGGGCCGGCGCCGGACGGAGCGCTGAACGCCCTGCGAGCTGCCCTCCGGAAGGTGCACGGCCAGGGAGGGGAGTCTTCATTTTTCTTCGTGCACGGTGTGCGGGAATTTTTACGGAATACCTGGTGGCTTCGCAGGAGCAGGCAGTCGTGCAAGATGGACTGCGAGTGGTGTTACATCACTTAGAGGTCGCGGCCTTGACGAGCTTTCTTGGGCAACGCTGCTGGCACGGTCATCCCATCATATCCCATCCTTCCTGCTTGCAACACGCTCCTGTCCCTGAACCGAGATATCCGATCTGACCAGTCCGAAGCTCTCTTTGGTGTCAAGCCCTGACTCATCAGGTCGGGGCTCGATGCATCTTGCTGTCGGACCGCAGGGACTTTTGCATCGGCATCCGACAGTTTTTGCGAGAAAACGAGGTGCCTCTTCCACAGCTCACAGCAACGTCATCGTCTCTCGTTATCACATCCCGGACCCCCGTTTCAGGATGTCGACGAAGATCTTGTTGCGGACTGGAGGCCACACAAGGCGCGCAAAGGATAGCAGGGTGGCTGACCACGGCAGAAGTCTTTGGGATTGTGCCAGGTGGCGTCCCTCTTTCCGCTGAGCCAGAATGCAGAGCAGCCATGGTGTGTGGCAGAAGCCCTTTGCTTAGCTCGGCACATTGACAGCCATCTTTTCTTCGTCTTAGTCCAGTCCGATGTGTTGCATGGGTGTCCTCTTCGGGAGTTGATGCTGTCTGGAGCACGTACCTTTTGCAGGCATGTATAAACTCCAGGTGTCCTTCAGAAGACCTGTGGTGGGGTAGCACCTGTACGAGTAGCTAACGCCCCGGTGACCCCCGCTTGGCGCCCAAGTGCCAGTTCAATTGCTGCAGGTCACACATTCGGCGGTGGATCCAATGTCAGCCGCTGCGAATCTTGCTGCCAAGGAGGCGGCCCGCCGATGGGGGTAAAATCATATCTGTCACTGGTGCATGAAGATGTTGGGGCAAGGCTCAGAATGTATTGGCCTCCTGTCGGATCCTTGCCCAAGCCAGCAGGTCTTCGTGATAGAGAAGCGCCTGCGCGGTCCTTGGAAGGTTTTTTACAGCGTGCTGGGTTCCAACTTGAAGTGCTGGCCCTGATGAGCTTCTCCTTCGCGTGGCGACCGTAATGTATGAAACCCACGCTCAACCCTAATCGGAAAGCAAAGCCCTGTACGGCTGCCTCAGTATCCTGAAGTGTGAAAGGCGAAGTTCGCAGCCGCGTGATCCGGTGGAAGGTTCATGCCTCGTGCTTCAGGATCATTTGGCTGTCAGATGTCCTTTTGCACTCACGGCAGTGCTAGGGCGGTCCGGAGCTTGAGCAAGTAGATATCCTCGCGCCAATGCATTTTTGTGGCTCGAGGAGCAGCATACGACTGACTCAGACAGCTTGTGTTGCAGACAAACTCCAAGCACGATGACGCAGGCTCTTCCCCAGGAGAAGGCACCGCTCTCCCCTTCTCGCTTGTCAAGGCAGTCGAGCTCCACAATGAGGATCCGTGAGAACCTGGGCCGGTCTAGCCTAGCATGCCTGTTCTGGATTCATTTTTTTTTGGGGGGGCATGGAGGCGAAATCGTGCCACACACATCTCACCTCTGCTAGTTTCTGGTAGCCGTTTCTTCTCCTTGTGAATTTCGGTTCTTGTCAGGAAAGCCGCGACCATCCGCAAAAGCTTTCAGCGACCGAAGTTCTGGGTGACAGGGTTCGGCTGGTGCTTGGCTGCATGTGCGGGTGCCGCCAACACGATTGCATTCAAGTGCTGGATGCTGTACGCGTCCCATGTGACGGGCAGCACATCCAACATGGCTTTCCGACTGGAGGGCTACCAACAAGGTGAGTACGGGTCAGAGTCCCTGAAAGAAGCCTGCTCTCTGGTATTTTCCTTTCTGGCAGGGGCATATGCATGCGGCGTCCTCATCGACAAAAACCAGGTGCATTTCATGGGCAAGGCATTTTATGGCTTGGCTCTGGTCCTCAACTCTGCGCTCTTGATCACCGCAGCATTTGTCCCTGGTCGCCTGGTGCCAGCATGCTTTGTGTCTGCGGCCTGCGGTCTGCAGAATGCTATGTGCACTTCACATTTCGGTGCAATCATCCGCACGACGCATGTCACTGGGACGGTCACGGACATCGGCTCGACGATGGGCCGCATCAGCATGATCTATCTCCGGAAAGCTTGTCGCTGTGCACCGCTGAACGACATCGACCGTGCTGAGATCGGAGTAGATGCACGGAAGTTGGCAGTGCTGGCAGGGTTGTGGTCCTTCTACCTGATTGGAGGCCTTATTGGAATCTACATGGAGAATGTGATTCCAGGTCCCCGCGCTCTTCTCGTGCCTGCCTTTGTCACTGGCAGTGTTGGCCTCTTCTACATGGCCTGCCGGCGGCTTCTCAAGAACTACATTAAGAAGCTGGAGCAGGACCGCTTCACTGCAGACCTGCAGGAAGCTCAGCAGGCCTTGGCCCACATGGGCAGCCGCCTCCACGACTTGGAGGCTGGCGAGGACAAGCTGGTCTCGTCCTCAGATTCCCTTTTTCCCAGTCTCCACCTCTACACTGACCTGGCATCATCTATTTTTGTGCCACGAATGTCCTCAGGTCGTGGAGTTGGATGCGGAAATGGGTCACATGATCGAGGCTTTGCATGAAGTCGAGGCTGGCTTCTTTGCACCTTCTAGGTTCCGGGGATAGTGTGTGCTTACAGCATGGCCGGTTGAGCAGCAGAGAAATTTTGGCCAGCCGGGTTGGGAATCGCGAAGAGGCAGGAGGCGTGGACAGGTGACCATGGGCCCGAAAGGCAATGTCGGAGTTGAGCGCACCAGGCCGACTTCGACAACGTTTACGGAGAGTCCGGTCGCGAGTTTGCAAGACAGGCATGTGGGGATCCTGCATTCCCAGCGTTCAGTGGAAAGAGTGTCTGCACTTCTTTGCAGCCTCTCCTGTCGTGACGTCAGTATTTTTTGCGACCGATGCCATGTTCATAGTCTGTTATGTTTGGCTATCCTGTCTTTCATGACTCATCTCTTCTGCCTTCTGCATTCATCGCACTCACACTTTGTGATGACGGTCGTGCAGGAACTGTCATGCAGGCCCAGGATACATACCAGCAAGAAGCAAGACCTGGTACTCGTAGAGAACATCTGTCCTGGGTCGAAAACATGTGTCAAGTGTCAAGCAGCGGATCTTCAGCTTGGACTGCCAGGGAAGCAAGTGCAGCAGGGCCAGCAGTACAGCCACTTCTGGCGTTTGAGTTCTGTGTGAAGGCTGCGTCTGGAAAGTTCATGTCAGTAATCTTGAGATATCTTGAGACTTGGAGGATGCCCTGTGATCTGTGTCGGTCTGAGATGTATGCAGGACGCAGCTGGAAATCGCAGAAGCAGGCGCTGAGACATAGATTGGCGCCCGACAGCATAGCAGCTCGCGAAATCTTCCCTAGCACAACTAATTCAGATGCGCCATTCGTAGCAAAGTGCGCTGTTGGAACATACCCCGGAGAGTTCCTGAATTCAATTGCCGTATAGATGGGCAGTGCTAGTGGCATTACACGCCTGCCTTCTGAAGCGATCAGTCGGGCTAAAGCAGACGTGTTCGCATTAATCGCATGACAGTTTTTGTTTGGGGGCATGGCGGGGCAACACATGGTTTGCTTGCCGGAGTTTTTCTGGCCAAGGGTCAGCACCCCGTGATCTTCACATTGTGTGAGGGTCAGACACATCCTGACTGCAGGCAGGTGGACAGGACAAAAGCAGAGCAGGATGGAGTGGTTTGCTGTTTTGTATGGGTGAGAACCGCGGCGTTCCTTCTTACCTTCCAGGTTTCTCCGTCGGGCTTGAATCCAGCCGAGAGTACTGCCGAGGTGATCCCTCAGCTCACTTGGCGGTTAGGCGTCGCCACTTTTCGGTGTTCTCCCTTTCAGACTCCCTGTGACTCACTCCTCTGCACACTTCGTTTGTCCAAGTCTGCCGAGGCCCTCTGTTCCAGAAGCCATCGCTCGACACAGAGTTTGGCGTGCGGGAAAAAGCTCCGATGCACAGGCAACTGACAGGACGGAGTACCCCTTGTGGATCTCGGCCAGAAATCTCACTGGCTACTTCTGCCAACTTCAGAAACCTTACTCTGTGTCGGCTCAGATCAAGTCAGAGGCTCCTGGCACTCGAGTTCTGGATTGGCTAAGGATGTCGATTTCGGCACAGCTCAAGGCACCCACAAGTACATTTTGAGCACATGACATCGGACAGTCGCCTAACATTCCGGGACTCCGAGAGCCTTGCGTCAAGCAAGTCGGGAGCATCTCCAACTGCGTTGGAGCTTGGGCTCATCCACGCCACTGGCGGTAAGCCAGCATCAGGCTCGGGTGAGTGCCTGCATCGTTCCGAGACAGCGGGCTATTCCCGTGGTCGACCGCTGGCAGGTTCGAACAGATTGTTGTTGTGGCTGCCGGGGACAAAGCCAAGTCTGGCTTTGAAGTGTTCCTGTGGACTAGCTGACTGGCTTTTGGAACCTGAGGCTTGAACGAGCACGAATATGGCTCTGGCAGCTGACAGTCCAGCAAGTGGTCTGAAAAAGGCCTGGCTTACATCTTGAGAGCATCTGAGAGCACTTCCGACTCAGTGCTGCATCGGCCATGTTGCACAGTGTTTTTCTTGCAGTCACCCCGAGGATCCGACTTGTCTAAACTGCAACAGAAAAAATTTGGCTGGTAACCCTATGCCCCACCAAAGACTCCGTCAACTCGCTTTTCCTCAGTTCTTGCTCGCTGAAACTTGTGCTGAAAGACATTCTGCTGCACATTGTGGCACCAGTAAGCCTTGACACGGAGAATTCGTCAGATTCTGGTGTGTGCAAGCAGGAGCCTGAATTGTTAATGCAAGCGCAAATGACGCAAGAGACAAAATCGTTTGCATTCCACTGGCCAGTTTGTTCGTGCGGAAGCCGGTTCGAGTGACATTTTCGATTTTGCAGATGGCCGTTGTTATTTAATCATGCAGTATGCGGTCTTTGTCGATTGCTATAGTGTATGCTAGGCTGCTAGACATGTGGACTCCAAAACATAGAGGGTGATCTTGGCCGCGTCCGATCTCTGCAGGCTATGCCTGCGTTGAGTGGTGAATGCTTGAAGGACAATTCGAGCTTGGGGAAGGTTTGGTAGATGCATCTTTCAAGCTCCCCTCATGTTTTCAAGCTGCTACTTTCTCCCTTGAACAGGAGAATGGCCCCAACGGGTGGCGTAAGCCGGCAGTGAAAGAAGATGGGAGCAGTGCTCAGATTACAACTGTGCTTGTGTGCCGGTACTTCCGCCCCAGTGCTTCTGTCTCTCTTTTGTACCCTGAGCAGGTCAGGGAGCAACAGCAGCAGCACGACTTCGGGCTGCGAGCCCTCAGTTTGCGAGGAGAGTGAGGCAGGCTCCATGTTTTTTGCAGGTGCCAGTCTTGTCCTTTCCGACTCTTCATCGACTTGTCAGACAGGCGACAAAGGTGGCTCGGGACGGCAGCGGCAGCAGTTCGGGATCACGCACAGAGACGGTGAAGGCAGTCCAGCAAGGTGTATACGTCCGCGCGCGCGCGTGTGTGTGTGTGTGTGGCTGTTCAAGCTCGGATGGGTTTCAATCAACCTCGTAGCAACTTCAGCGAGGGAGGTTTCATCCCTTCTCTTTAAATCTGTTTTGACCTTAGCCCCTGTCAGCTCCAGCACTACAGTCAGTACAGTGGCAACGGTTTCTTGAACCCAAACCTATGTCCCGTCAACATGGTTACCCAGAATGCATCATCTTGGAGTGCTTCGTGGATAAATCTCAGTGCTGGTTGTATCATCACCAAGGCCCCCACACACACAGAAGCATAAGGCAGGAGCAGCGGTGTAGCACGAGCCAGCGCCTACTGGACATTGGCAGGTCGTGGCAGTTGTGCTGATATGCTCCCAAGGGTTTGGAAGTAGTTGCAGCTGCAGCGGAAATAAGGAGTTCTTCTAGCCACAGCAGAAGAGAAAGCTGACCTCAGGAAAGTTGCCTCGATCGTGCACGAGCTTTCGTTCAGCATGGTAACGTAGTTGAGCCCCAGCTTCCGAACTTCCTTTGTGTAAGGCTTTCGTTGAGTGGACGTGAAGGTTTTCCGCCTCCCAAGCGTTTGAAGATGTTCGAAGCCATTGCTGTACTGCTGTTGGCTCAACAGAGAGACAGAGAGAGTCAGGCGCAGCTACTATTGCTTTTTTGTGGCTTTGCTTGGAGGCTTACAAGGAGTCGACACAAGACGAGAGCAGCAGCTCGGCCTCGCGAAGCGAGCAAGCACAGGACGCGCAGCGCACGGCGCAGCGTCTGCGGGGAAGTCCTCACAGAAAGGGACGCGCGCGCCTTTTTTCATGGGTCGGACAGGATGTGCAGGATGGTGATCCTCCGAAACAACTGAACTCTTTGAAAACGGCCCACGGCCCAGCGGCGCTTGGAGAAGGCCCTCCTTTGATGGTTGTTTTGACCAAGGCCGGACCCATGGAGTCCGTTGGCAGCCAGGTCCCAAGAGGCAAAGGCGCCTTTTTCAGACGGCTTTTGAAGCCGAATCCAACCTGGTGCATCAGCAAGACCGTACACTGTTTTCACTGCTTCTGCTCTCCAGAGATGCTGAGGCGTTGGACACCCGAACAACTGCAAGGCACTGGGTGAGTCGTTACACGCGGAAGTGAGCCCAAGTCATCATCTTATGATCGCGATCTTCGAAGCATGCGGCAGCATGCTTGGAGCGTTTGATGGGCCAGCGCCACTCGCATCGGTCTTTGGGTGTGCCACTTTTGCTCAGGCTGTAGCCTGTCAAGGGCCAAGCAACAAGGATCAGGAAAGCACACAGTTTGGATGAGCTCATGAAGTTTGCAGCAGTCTAGTCAGTCGAGAAGCAAGCAGGCATAATCATCTCAAGTCTCTTTTGCAACCCGAAGAGCTGTGAAGAGCCTTCCAGCCCACTCCACACTCGCGACACCGCAACAAATGCATCTGGCTGAACCGTCAAAGTAGCCGAGCAGCCTCCACTTAACACAGCTGAAGTATTCTGCTTCTGTACCTCTAGTGGCGATGTAGGCCGCCGCTTCTCAGGAGGCGAGTGCAAAGCCCCTACGAAACAAGAATCCGCCGGTCTTTGATTGAGCAGTGCAGGGAGTTTCAATGACGGCCCGGCAGCCCCTTGCTCAGAGCTTCACTGAAGGTGTAGAGGGATAAACGCCCAACAAAACATTGGCAGACTGAGCAACCGAGTTAGTGCTGGAGTTGAATGCTGCTGCTTAAGGTCGTCGTATCTCCCGCCGTCTGCAGCCTCCCAGACAATGGGTCCGCACCAGCGAGCAAAGAGTCTGGCAGGGAGCGAGGCAGCGTTGACTTTGGCGCCAAGCGTGGCAGGTGCAGCTCGAGTCGCCGGCGCTGCCACTGCACTGGTGGGACGGGCTGTCGTTTCTGCAATTCTTTTGCTGAATGGGCCCCATGCAGCCTGACTTTCCGCGCCAGCGCCTCCTCGAGTGCAATCCGGACTCGCTGTTGTCTCGGCCGCTTGGAGGTTCGGGGGAGGGTGTCGGGGAGGAAGCACTTTGGGCTCGGGCCTTGCCTTCCAGGCCGAGTCTCAGCCGCAAAGCTGGCGAGGATGCAGTACCAAGAGCGCTTGGAAGCCAAGGCGCAAGTCGGAGAGAAGACCCCATCAGCAGAGAGGGCTCGCCTGGCTTGTGAAGGCCGGCGATGCCCACGGCGATCTGCTCGACTTTGCCTGGAACTTACCTTTGCACCGCTGCAGCCTCCAAATGCTGAGAGAAACGGTGCATTTGGGCTCCTCGAGGAGGATGGCTCGGCGGGTTCCGAGCCGGCAACATCTTCACAGGTTCCGGTCTCGAAGGGAGATGTTCAGTGCATTTTGAATATCGTTTTGCACGGAAGGCATCAGCTCCATACCGGAACGAGACGCTGCCAGCAACTTGCCTAGACATCTGGCAGTTGAAGGGGGCAGTTCTCGGAGGTCAGAAGGAAAAAATCTCGAATGGTTTCAAAAGCGACGTCGTCGGCCCTCCGCAGACCTCTGCAGCAGCTCGTCTTGTGACTCAGGGCTTCGTGCCGGAAACGCTCTGGGCGGGTGACACAGTGCTCGCACGGTGCGCTCGTCGGGATGAGCACCAGGAGCCACAGAGCAGCTGGTGCGCTTGCAGGTACGGCCCAAACGGGCGGTTTTTCCGAGCGCGTGTCGCCGGGGCCCGAGCGGCTCGTGTCCGGTTTCTTCGCGGTCTTTGATGTGTGTTTTTTTAGGTCCGCGTCTACAGCAGCCGCGGCAGTTCTTTGGCGGATGTCGAGTGGCTGAGAACGCAGGCCCGTCAGGGCGAGACCAGGGCCAGGGCATGGGGAACGTCCTGTCAAAGCGCTGGTGGCCTACAGGACAGTCGAAGCGGCGATGAGTTTCTGGGTCCCTTGGTGCAGCAAAAAGCCAAGCTCCGAAACCCAAAAAGGTCTCAGAGGAAAGCGAATCTTTGTTGCTTCGCATCGCGAGGCCCCCTGCAGGATGAGCTCCTGCATCGGAATGGCTTGCAGGCCAGCAATGCAATCTGCTCTCAGCTAAAATCCCAGCCGTGAAGCTGCCCCCAAGTGGCGGCGTCTCCCCCTTTTTTAATGTGTCCGCAAGAGGTGGGTACCGAAGTGCGAGCGCTTGCGAGCTCCGGATCGGACCTTGCCCCAGGAAGAGACGAGGATGTTCCTGAGCTAGAGGATCCCAAGCCAACGCAGCTATCTTGGGATGCAAGGCCCGAAGTTCTGCGGCGGCCGGCGCGCCGGGAGCTCGAGTTCTTGTGTCTGGCCTGTAAGCCTCGTGACTCTTTCATGCCTGATTGTATATTTCTTTAGTTTACTCTCTGCGCCGGTGCAAGCAGCAGAGCAGGTGTTCTAGAAAGCTGCAGCGAGTTCTGCGCCCGCAGGCCCGGTCCCACTGCGCCCGCCCAGGAGGCCGCGCGATGCCTTTTTTCTTTTTTTAGCCTTTTCCTTTTCTGCCGCTTTTTGGAGCCCGAGATCCGAGATGTGCTCCGGCAGCTCAGGGGCCACCAGCCGCGGCCATGCCGGATCTGCTGGACTTCTCTCCCCTTGGCGAGGTGTGGTGGTAGTTTGTGGGATGTACAACCTATGGCTTTACAGGGAAGCTGCTGATGTGTCGTGTCTCCAGATGTGGCTTCCTGCAAGGCGGTTCCTTCTGGTGCAGACCTCCTGGCTCCTGCAGGTTCACGGTGAGTGCAGAGACGCTTTGTGCTCTGTACAAGGGCAGCAGGAGCCGCTGCTGCGACCATGAAGCATCTTCGTTTTGATTGTTGTGTTCGGACTCTGCTTCGGAGCAGGTGATCTCACACCTGGCCTGCCAAGACTGGATTTTTCAGGTGGGCACGCATACGTCTCCATGAAAGCAACAGGGACACAACGATATGCAATCCTTTGCGGATGATCCTGAAAGGTGCGAGGCCCGTGGAGGCGCAGAGGCAAGCTGCAAGAAGCTCTACAATGCAATGACCGTGACAACGATATGACGAATCAGCATGGCTACAGTTGGAAAGTTCGTATTCTGTGCTGTGCCCTAGTTGCTTATCTTAAGCCCCAAAGAACCCTGCAAAGGCCGCCATCGCTGATTGGTGGTGGCTATGGCAACGTCCCAGTGCAGGCTGAGCTTAAGGGTCCTACCTCCCTTGGCTCCCGGGTAGCTTCATGCTTGTTGTGGCTCACTCACACTCTGCAATATGCTCTTTAGGGCCTTATGTCAGGAACACGCTTGAGTCAAAATGGCGAATGCCATTTTGGCTCGAGCTGATTGTGACCCTGCACACGAATTTTCGAAAAACTTTCCGTCGCTCGCCTTTGCTCGCCATGGCCGCAACACCTACCCCCGCTGATGCTTGGACCGTTGTTGAGGAATACCCGTGACGACCGACACGAATGACGATGATGCAGAGATCGTCGAGAATTTTACCAGGGACGATGTTCATGCTAAGCTGAAGGAGATGCAAAAGGCGGTGAGAGCGAGGTCACCTCCTCCCGCATCTCCGAGGACGCCGAGACCACCCTGGACGATGAGCACTTCCGTCCACGACGTGGTCATGACGCCTGAGGCGCCGGGGAGCCTTTGGCCGAGCCGTCCTTTGTCTGGTTTCGCCTCTGGAGAGGCGACGCCGACCCCGGCAGCCCCTACCATGCATGTCTACCAGGGAAAAGGGTGCGGCTGGTGCGTTGCTGATCCAGGGCATGCCGGTAAGCCCGGAACCCTGATCCGCTCGTTCGCACTACTGAGGTCTCCTCCGAGCCCCCACAAACAGAACTCCTTTTTTGGGGCGGCGTCCGCGTGGTGGGGTTCGAGTGACGGGAATGCCTCCGATACGGAAGCATGAATGGGAGGCTGGCTGTCCATGGACCCCTGCCCGGACAAGTCCTCCGTCTTCCGGTTCCACTGCAAGGGCATCGAAAAGCGCCACCCGTGGTCCAAGGTCTCCGAAGCGCCGCGTCGCGGCTCTGGAAATGCTGGGGACGCTGGTTCTTACAGTAGATGATCAGGATGAGCGCCTTCCCATCATTCCCCTGCTCGAGGACAACCACGGAAACCTCAACAGCAAGTCCAGAAAGATGCCTTCGGCGGCCATTCTCATGGAGCTTATGCTCATTTTGCACCGCAATGGCTGTACTCTTGCGCCCCTCACGTGAAGCGGGATTCAACCATTGGGCTGACGAGCTTATGCAGCCGGACTACCAGGGCTTGGCTCCGGATCGTCGTCTCCGTGTCAACCGCCTACTGAAAGGCTTTCACCTTCGTTCCCCAGTAGCTTTTGGTACTCCCTCACCTATGTGGTGCGCAGTGAGGCCGAGAGTTCCCCCACTCGTTCGATACGATGCGGGACTTCTCTCGTCAGTGCCACACCGTTTTCGGTTTTGGATTTCACAGCGGGGCCTGAGGCTTTGGGAGCCTGTGGCCCCGACTCGCTCGGGGACCCTCTCGGATTGCCACCTTCACACTTCCACACGCAGTGAAAAGAGGGAAGTGTGGGTGGTTACTTTCGGATTCCGTTGTTCGTGTTGAAATAAACTCAAACTCTCAAGACGCTTAGCCCCCGAGCCCGACAAAGCCGAGCAATTAGATTCCAAACTCTAACACACTCACCAGGAACTGGCACGCAAGACTGAAAAATGAAGAAAAACAAATGGCAGCCTGGCTGGAAGCCTCATCTGAACGACCCTGGCATGAGGTTGTAAGTATCTGCATCAATCAAAAAGAACTGAATCACTAAATCACTAAAATCATCCAACCCTAAATCCTGACAAAAACATCCGCAACAGGCAGCCCTCAAAGAGTTGACCTGCTTGCCTTGCTGGGTGTCTCCTCGCTGTCGTTGTCGCAGCCATCAAAAGCTTCGATGGTCTCCCAGGCACCTACCACAGAGAGCTCTCAAAAGCCGCAGGCTGGCTTGATCGTTTAGCATTGAAACCACATGGTGAGATCTTTGTGGGAATGATTGTCGTCACGATTGGTCTTTGTGGGCAATTTTTTTCGGCCGTATTGATGTTCAGGTCGAAGCAAGCGTTTTTTTTTGTGACGCAAAATTTCCGCCTTTAGGCTCCAGATGGCTTTGTGTTCTTGGTAAGGTGGCTTGCTTTGGCTTTTGGCTTGAGCAGTGGGCCATGCAACAGCCTGCTCGAATCAGTTTTGTCCACACGTGCGAGCATTGTCAGTTGAATGGATTGATGCACTTTTGGCTGCTTTCCGATGAGTTTTTGTTTAGGCTGAGGCGAAGGCATGTCAGTATAGCCTACAGTGGCATTCGGTGTGGGGCAAGCTGGGCGACAGGAAAGTTTCGACTTTGTCTCGGACCTGTTCCTGCAGGCACTTCGCATAAACGCCGTATGGCAGTGTCGGAAACGTCCATCAGCAAGCATGTGCAGGCGTTTGCATGCTCGCTGGCTTTACAGACCTGGTCGTTTGGATTAGCAGAGTAGCAGAATCTGTGCATCAACTCTGCTATCAGTCCTCGGGTTCCACAGAGGAGCGTCAGCAACACATGTGGCATTTCTTCGAGATTTGCTGTTACACTTCTGAGCTGGAGGTATCGGATGTGCAGCCGCCTGTGCAGCAGACGGATCGCTGAACCCTCGCGTCAAACGCCAGGAGTGTGCGCAGTTCTTACGTGCAAATGACATGGCTTTCGGCAACAGCAGAGGTAAAAAGAGTTAATGTGGGCCTGAGTGGATCGGGTGTGTGCACAGCGACTCACGCCTACCTGAGAATTGCGCGCAAGTGGAAGGTGTTTTGACTGTCCGTGAGCTCTTTTGCCTGGGTGTCGAAGACCCCGCGACATCAACAAAGATGAGATAGATGTGCAGTCTTAGGCTGCACCCAGTGACATCCTTACGCTTGCGGCATCTTGAGCCAGCGAGTCTTCGACAAATCTGCACGTGCCAGCACCATGTTCGGAGCATCTGTGCACCCTCAGTGCGCATGGTTTCTAGACAGGTACGGGGCATGTCAATTCCGCATTAGACGTGTTTCTGCACCATCACACCCCATTTCTCCTGGAAAAGCGAGCTCCTGAACTCCACCTTCACGGCATTTCTGTCTGTGTTGTGACTGCATTTCCTCCAGCCCTGCTCTTGACTCTGTCCCCACGTGTGTCCGCGCCAGCCTTGCGCCTTCTACTGCTTTTCTTTATGTGGCTGCCGCATGGATCGCGAGTCGTGGCCTCAGAGAACGAGAGGAGAGCCGAACCGTGCGCACCGTGTCCGCGACGAAGCGATGGAGTTGTACACGGAAGCATCTATCTTCGATGTGCTGAGTTGCGCCTACTGCCACCTCTTCCACCAGTCCCGTTTGAAGCAGCGCCGGGAGGACTGGGCTGCAGGTTCAAAGGCGGGTTCTCGCCAGAAAGCTCGCTGCCGTTAGAGTGAGACAGGCATGCAATGTGGCCCAAGTGACTTTCGTTAGCTGCTAGCTCTTTTGTCGGGGCCGTAGCAGACCCTGACCCCGCACAGAGGCCATTTGGTCTATGTAGATTGTGTGAGGTTGACCTGTCCGTGTTGCTGCTCAGGGTTTGCATGCATATGCGTATGTACGTACTTACGCAACCACTCGTCAATGATGATGACCGTGAGAATCACGCAGCACCCTTTTCGCTGTTATCATCATAGTTGCGGTAGGTGTTACTACAAGACATTGCTGTCATCGTGCGAACCAACTCTCTCGTTGCCTGCAATGGCCCTCCCCTCCGAGCAGAGACAGGGCGATTGCCTGAGTGGCCATTGAAGTCTCAGAAAGTACATTCTTGTGGTCCTCGTGTTCTTGTCGATTGTGATAAGTGACCTCGTTACATGTGCTTCTGCCGTCATCGATGTCGTCACCGTCACCGTCACCAGCACCAGCACCAGCACCAGCACCAGCACCAGCACCAGCACCAGCACCAGCACCACACCGCCTCCAGCACCCGCTCCAGCACCCGCTCCAGCACCCGCACCAGCACCAGCACCAGCACCACACCGCCTCCAGCACCAGCCCCACACCGCCACCGGCACCCGCACCAGCACCAGCACCAGCGGCCCTCACCACCCCCACCATCGGCCGCCACCGCCACCGCCACCGCCACCAACGTCAACTTCAACGTCACAGTCACCATCACTGCTACAATTCCGCATCATACCAGTGTTTCCTTACGGTCGCTCAGCGAGGCTATCCATCACCGGTCGCCACTTCCCCGGACGTCAGCACAGACAGCAGGTCAAGAGCGAAGGAGCGGGGCTTGTCGCAACAAGAGCAGGCTCATAAGTTAAGGCTTGGGACTGGCGTGCCTGCTGCTGACTGGATCAATCTGCCCACTATGCACAAGTGTTTGTGAGTAGAGTCGAGGCACGACGTGCAGATGGTGCCGGCATCCCAACTGCTGTGTGGTTTGAGCATGTATGTCTCCAGTCTGCTGAAGCCCCTTCAACATCTGCATAGTTGCAACTTGTCCACAGGAGCGGGTGACGCTGATCTGCACTCGTGCCGTCTTGAGTTGTTGTGTCAGCTGAGGATGTGAGCAGCTCTCCGGCACAGCGACAGACTTTTGCGGTGCGAGCCCGAGTTGTCGACCTCGAAGCTGCGTTCCCGAGATTGGAGAGGCTGTCCCGGACTTCGTTGGTCAACGCAAGGACACTTTAGCCCGAGATCAGGGTTTACTCTGTTGCTGAGGTGTCACCACGACCTGCTTCAGGATCCAGCTCTGGGAGGACTTTTGTTGTGATTGCTTAGGAAGTTCTGCTGTGGTGCGAGCTGAAGCATCCTGAAGCCTCCGAGTGCGAGCTGGTGCAAGGAAGGCTGGATCGTCCAGTGCCCCCTCAGCTTCCCGCTTGATTTCGAACCTTTTAAGGGTTGAAATTTGAAACTTGAAACTCGCGCAGGCACACGATCCGAGAGAGCCGTGGTAGGCGTAGATTCGTAGATAGTTGTTTTGGCTGACACGGTCTAATGCGCTCTGCACGGGCATTCCGAGGCAAGATCCTCCACACCCATCGTGGCCGAGGACGACTCGGAAACAAGGCACGAATGGTTGAGTGAGGGCCAGAATACGAAATGAAATTCAAACTTTGCTGAATCTGAGCGTTTCACTGCCTTGTGAGGCAAGTGTCGACGGCAGCTTCCACTAATGAGGCGACGGAAGTGACAGCCCCAGCGCCAGGGCTCCTCTGGTGGGCGCTCCTTTGGCAACGTTGGAGGCCTGGGCGGAGCCGCGCGGGGCCGCCGCGGCGCCGCCGCCACCGGGCGGTGCAGCTCCCACCCGGCAATGGCAGGAGGCGATGTCTTTGGAGATGGAGAAGGATGCTTTCACCCTGAGTTCGGATTGGAAGGGTCTGTGCAGGTGTGCGGGTTAACTCTGTTGCAAGGCCATGGACAGCCTGCAGCGCGAGTATGCAGAGGTGGGCTTGAACCAGCCATGAACATTCAAAGCAGCTCCAACTCCTGGCAGGCGCTGAAAAGCATTGACTTTCGGGTGAACCAGCGGATGACTTCATTGCGATCCCAGTTGGATTGCGCCGTCCTCAGTGTTTCTTGTCAATCACTGCTCGCAGATGCTCAAAGGCTTTAACTCGGAGCTGCTAATTCGAAACGCCTGTGGTTGGCAACTCTTCGACTAGTGCTGCTGCTAGCTGCAACAATCAATGTCAACTCAAGGTCAAGTGTCTTGGCCCAGCAGTGCAGGTGAATGCTGCAAGTTACATGTCGTGGTATGTCGAGGTTCCAAGCAGCACGAGCTGCCTCCAAGCTATCCTCCGTCTGATGTGCAGCCCTTGGATTTTGCAAAGCGTATGCATTTAGTCAGCTGCAGCACGGTTGAGAAGCACAACTCTTGTGCGTATGGACATGCGACGAAGTAGCCGAGCAACCGAAGCCACGTTGCTCGAGCTACGAAGTTTTCAGTCATAGGTGTTGCTATGGCTGCTTGTAGCGCTCGCGAAGTTGATCGGGCGATGCAGGTCCTTGGTTATCTCGAGGAGCCGGTGGCCTTGGACGTCTATGATGCTGGCTACGAGTGGGTGCGCCACATGCTTCTCGAGGCTTGGGTGGAGCATGAAGCTAAGGACAGGTGAGCCTATCCAGACTGCGGTTCCTCAGGGTGGCCCGCTGACTCTTCGCGCTGCCTTGGCGGAGAAGCCTTCACATGTTAGGGTCATCCAGGACCGAGCCAAGTGGTTGGCAGCCTTGGCGCCCGATTGGGGTGCCGCTCAGTTCAGCATTCGCTTCATTTTGAGCAGCGTGGATTATCCCATCCAGGACCCGTTGCTGCCTCTGCTTGCTTTTTGCGAGAGCACCTCAGCGGTGACACGTGCATGTAGCAAAGACCATCTCTCCTGCCACTTTGCATTTTAGGCTCGACATGGCTGAGGAACTTTGGAGGACTCTTAGGCTAAGGGGTTTAGCCCCTTATGCGCCAGACTTCGTGCGATGCCGAGTGCTTGCGGTGACCGAGATCCCCCTCCGGGCCGATGCTCTCCTGAGGGAAGGTGTACCTTCTTGGGTCGTCGAGCTAGCTTCACGGGGGCCTCAGGGCCCGGCAGAGGTGAGGCCTGAACCTGAGGAGGCTCGACGTGCAGACTTCCCTCGACAACCCATGGTTCGACGTGCCAGTATGCAGGCGGCTTTAGAGGCCGCGAAGCCAGAGAACAGGCAGAGAGCGCTTGCTGCCCTGGATCAGGACGTGCTGGCCTCCAGCACCATGTCGTCCAATAGCTGCCGGGTTCGGCTTTATGAGTCGGTTTGCCGAACGTGGGGATTGGAACCTTGGCCGCTGTCGCGGGAGAGCGTCAGGGCCTTTGGAGCATGCCTGAAGGCCGGATCCTACAAGAGCGTTGCCGTGTACTACAGTGCCTTGGTGAGCCACCAGACACGGACGATGTGGCAGGCCCCGAGCCCTGAACTTCAGCGGTGTATCCAGGATACACGCCGGGCGGTGCTGCGCGGGGCGGGGCCCACTCGCCTGAAGGATCACTTCAACGTCCCGGTCCTTCGTCAGGTCTTGCGCTGGGAGCCAGAGCCCATCCCCTTTGACGGTCAGGACCCTCAGCACATGGCCGAGGTCCTTCTTCTCAGCTCGTGGTGGATGCTGCGCGAGATCGAGGCAGCAAATGCTCAGGTGGGGCACGTGGCATTCAATGAGCAGCTTGGGGAAGTGACTTTGAGGCTGCCGGTGCAGAAGTGAGATCCTGTGCCCTTACCACAGCATGAAGAGGCACATGCGGCGATTGGCCGAGCGGGGGACTTCGGCTGTTTCCACCAGGGCTCCACTTTTCCCGAATCAGGAGGGTGGGGTCATGAGCAAGGATGAGTTCATCCGGTGCACCCGGCTATCACTCCAGGCCTGCGGTGTGGAATTGACGCGTGAGTTCGAAGGCGTCACCCTCCACCGCTTTTCTGGTCACGTTGCCCGGGTTTCGGGCGCACAATGGCTTCATACGCTCGGCGTGCCAATGCCAATGTTGCAGGTGTTGGGGAGGTGGTCGAGCTTGACCATACTCCGTTACCTGCAGAGCGCCCCTTTGCAGACACTTCCCGAGACGGCAGCGCGTGCCTTGACTCAAGGGAACCCGGCAGCTCAGCGAGAGGCCCCGTAGTTGTTGATCCCGACGCCGGCGGCAGGGGAGTCGGGCGACACAGTGACCGTGGTACAAGACAGTGACGAGGACACCGCTCAGAAGCGTCGAAGGGCGCGTGGAGCCCAGACGAGTGCCGCAGGGTCGTCGACACCAGGTCCCACGGACTCGCCAGAGGGCGCGACGTCCATTGACAGCTCTGAGGAGTTGAGCCAGATCAGGTCAGAGCTGGCTGTCATGCAATCGGCATTGTCCAGGGGCGGTCTCGGCGACATCACGTGATCGCCGTCCCGGAGTCGGCCAACCCGCCACATGCCTGGACCACGGTTTGTGGATGGCGGTATGGCCTGAGTCAGTTCTACAGAGCTCAGCAGATTGGCTCGGCGGACAAGCGGTGCCGCAGGTGCTTTCATATCGATGACGACGCGGAGCCAGACGAGTCTAGTCACGATTCTGAGGGAGGTTCCGATGACAAGTCGAGCTCCAGTGGCTCGAGTTCGTCTTCCTCCGATTCTAGCTGAGTACGAAAGACGAGCCCACGGCCTGGGGGCCCGCTGGCGAGAAAAGCTCCTCAGTGCGTGCGTTGGTTCGCCTGTAGCTCCCCTTTGTTGTGCTGTTGCGTTGGTGTTGCGGACCCTCGACAGGACTTGGACTATGTCACCTGGGACTACGGCGACCTCGGCAGGCAGATTGCTTCGTCCTTTGAGAGAGCGGCCGCTTTCCATCGTTGGAACGTAGGCGTAGTTAGATGGCATGCCATGGACTGAGTTTTGATTTCAGGCAGGACCGTTCTGGATCCCGGACGTGGGAAGCTGCTAGGAGGCCTCAGTTGTTGTCGGTGTTGTTTGTTTCCACGGGTTCCGAATGGTCAGCTGCAGTTGGCAACAGCCGGACTAGTGTGCCCATCAGTGGGATGGGAGCGTTCGCCCTGAAGCCAGGGGCTCGGGCGCAGCCCAGTGGGTGGCAATGCAATCGAGCTCCCAGTGGGCGGAGTCTCAGAGATATCAAGCCGCGACCTGAGAACGGCTGCAAAACATGTGCTCAAGTTGCTAATGGCTGCGTGGTGCCGCACATTGCTTGAGCGACTTGGGCCTCCTCTTCAGTCGGGCTCGACGGGACAGCAGGGTTTAAGCATATTTAGGATCATGTCACACTCTCTTGCATGTTTCATGTCGTCTGCAGATTGGAGGAGTTGCACACGCATGCCCACACTTTTCATGCTGTTAGGCGGGGTTTCATGACACAAGCGTCTTGCGGAACGATGGACGAACTTGCGAGACAGGCCGGGGCAGGCGACACAGTCCGTGCCTACCTCGAGGCCCGTGGCATACTGTCAGTGGGGACATTAGCCATGGTGGCGAGGGACGAGGCCTCGTATGATACGACTGTCATCGCGCCGTTGCTTCGTGGTTTCCAGACAGCAGCCGGCATGTTGGAGCTGCCAGAAGTTGAGCAACCAATTGCGAAAGCAGTGCTGCTCTACATGTGGAACCTGGCTCGGGAAGCAAGGGCCGCTGCAGGCACACACAACACTGCTCCGGCTCCCGCAGGATCCCCGGCGTCGAGCCCCACCGCATCGGGCACGGCGCGCTCTACCGAGGAGAAGGCCCCCAAGACGCTGCCCCCCAAGGTTTGGCAGGAGGCCGTGGCCAAGTACAACGCAGTCTGCGTCGGGGGAGTTCCCAGGGAGTTTCCCATCAAGAAGTTGGTGGGGGCGGAAAGCGTCTTAGCACGCTTTCATTGGGAGCATGTGACTAGCAAAGCATATTCTCCGCTTGAGCTGGGGGAACTGATGTCCAAGCGCAGCTTCACTGCAACGGGAGCCGTGAACCACCGTGCGGCCAAGAAGCGCTCAACACGCCTGGAGTTCGACGGTGAATCTCTGCGGTCTGCCGACGACAACACGTGGGAGCCCCGATCCCTGTGGGCTGTGGTGGATGGCTTGGATGCCATCCGTTGGTGCCATATCCTCTTCGAGGTGGGTGAGGAGCGACAGATCAACCTCTTCTTCGACGAGATGACGAGGCGAGCAAGGGAGCGACCGGACAAGATCGAGATCTTCCGCGAGTACTACGCAGCGGTTTCCTGGAGCATTTGCATGGCGATGAGGGTCAACAAGACTTACAAGGAGGCGAGCGATGCCATACTGGCTGACGTGACCATGTGGAACGAGTACATGGCCCGCGATCCGGGGCCAAAGGAGAGCCGGAAGCGCCGGCGGTCGGATACTCCGAGCCAGCAGGCTGACGCCGAGTGGACACCCAGGCCCCCGCAGCCAGCGACCTACAAGGGCAAAGGCAAAGGACGCAAGGGCAACAAGGGCTATGACCAGGGACAACAGCAGTGGCGGCAATGGCAGTCGCAGACCTCGTGGTCCCGTCCTACATGGCGAGGAAGCCAAGCAGGACGAGTAGGGACAGCTCGGGGCCTCTCCCCTGGGGTGGGGTACCCGGCAAGATGGGGGACATCGTTGTCCCAGATTCTGATGCCAGCCGGGCGCCGGCATCTGCCTCTTCGCAGCGTGAGCCTCCTCTAGACGAGTCTGGACCAGGAGGTGACCGGAGCTCAACGGTGGCGACGAGTGCGGCTACCACCCCTGAGCCCGAGGCGGCTCCGACTTCGACCCCAGCTCCGAGGTCAGCCATGTTGCCTCTCAGGGGCGATTCTGCGCTTCCCGTTCCGGGTTTGCAAAATTGTGGAGACGTCATTCTGCTCAGTTTCTTTGACGGCATAGGCTCGGCTTCGCTGGCACTGTCGTCGCTGGGAGTCCGAGTTCGCGCCACCATGGAGTGGGCGGTCGACCCTTGCGCCATCGCAGTGTCATCCAAGGTGTCCCGTGGTCTTCGCATGAAACGGGGCAATCTGCTCCATGACGATCCGGCCGTGGTGGCCACCATGCTGCAAGACCTTTTGCGCGACAAAGAGTCGCTGGTGCTGGTGACAGCTGGCCCTCCGTGCCCAGACTATTCGCGGCGCAGTGCAACATCACCAGGCAGGGAGGGCGACTCAGGACAGCTTTTCGTCCGGTTCGCGGAGTTTCTTCAGGCCGTGGAGTCCAAGGTCCAGAGAAAATTTCACATCCTCGTCGAGAACGTTCTCCTCCAGAAGAGTACAGACCTGGCCTGGTTCAACCGGGCATTGGATGCCACACCGGTGCTGGCAGACGCCTCGAGTTTCGGCATGATCAGCAGGCCCCGCACGTGGTGGACGCGGGTGAATTGGCGATCCATGACCACTCATCCTTACTTCCGGGACCAGCAGCTCAAATGGGACCGAGTGGACGGACTCAGCCGACTTAAGCTGGGTGTTTCGAAGGACCCGCCTGATTCCTTCACGATGCCAGGACTCAGCTTTCACGAGGACATCCGCAGTGGCAAACGACATCTGCCATGCCTAACTACTCCTGCCCCTTCCGAGGAGGGGCGTCCAGCCCCGAAACGCATGAAGGGCAAGCTTTCTGCCGAAGTGCGCAGCAGGTGGATGGAAGGGAACAGGCAATATGCCCCGTGGATGTATGACAACCACGCATTAGTCTACGAGGCTAACGGCTCCGGTCAGTTGTTGCCAGCAGAACTGAAGGAACAATTGCATCACTACCCGTCAGGATTTACGCGACACGACAAAGTGTCGCCCCGTGACCGACACCGCCTTTTGGGCAACAGTTGGCATCTAGGCGTGGCCAGGTTTATGATGGCGTTGGTTTTGTTGCAAGGGTTCGCTTCTGCACAGCCGGCGGCAGCCTCTGACATTGAGTCGGTTATGCGAGAGGCCCGGGGAAGAGCCATTCCAGTTGCAGGGCATGTGCAGTCCTTCGATAGGGTTGGGGTGAAACCAGCCTTTGACATGGATGAGCAGTGGCAGAATAGTTTGGGCATCCGTCATCCCGTCCTTGAGCCGCCCGTCCTAGAGGAGGCGGTGGAGAAAACCATGGCGGCTATTTTGCAAGTAGGACAGGGCCTTCCTGAGTACAGACGGCAGACCCTGGCCATGTTGCGTGAGCTGCGCGACCAGATGCAGTGCGAGACTGAAACATGGTACAAGGGCCTCGAACCACATGTGGCTAGTGCATATACCTACGATGGAGATAAGATTGTGCAGATTCCCATGCTGATGCGATTGCTCCGAGGCTGTGGCTATCCAGATTGCGAAGGCCTGGCTCGGGACTTGTCCTCCGGCTTTCCGCTTTTAGGCGAGCTGCACAGATCACCAGGATGGCAGTCCAGGACAGATGACTGGTATGAGCATCCCATATGCGAGGCGACTTTTGCTAGGCTGAATTCCCAGCACATTCGCGCTCGTACGGCGCGCAACAGGCCAGATCCTGAGTGGCAGACGATGCTGGCTGAAGTCTTGGCTGAAAGGGAACAGGGTCTCGTCGAAGGCCCATTCGAAGCCCACCCAAGCTGGGGCTTTGAAGCTGTCGGCGCCGACAACTCCGCAGGACTCCATCCTTTGCCGCCAGGAGCCGCTTATGCTGCTTTTGCATTTAGCGTGGTGCAAGAAGGCGCAGATGGGCGCCGGAAGGTGCGCCGTTGTGAAGACTACCGCAGGTCATATCACAACGCGACAGTGCGGGCTCACGACAAGCCCCCGCATGACAGCATCGATTCGTATGTCCGGGTGATCATGGCCTGGGCAGCTCTACACCAGCAACCTCAGGTGTGGTGCCAGGACATGTTGGGCGCTTACCGTCAGTACCCAATTCAGAACACATCGCGCGCTTACATGTTGCTGCAGCTGCCTCATGGTGTGAGTGTCTGGCGACATAAAGTGTTACCTTTCGGCAGTGCTCCTTCGGTTTGGCATTTCAACAGGTGCACTGATGCTCTTGTATGGCTAGCTCGCTCACTGACGTTGGTGCTGGCCTTGCATTATGTGGATGATGTCGGAGGTCCAGAGCCCGAGTGGGCTGCTGCTTCGTCGTGTGAGACGTTTCGCGAACTGTGTGAGATCATTGGCATACGAGTCAAACCTTCCAAGGAACAGTTGCCAGCAGCTCTTCAGAAGGTGCTGGGAGTTTGGTTGTCCATACATGCCGATCGACTCGAGGTGCGCCCCGACGCTAATCGGCTGGCTAAGGTCCTTCGCTCTTTGCAGGCTTGCCTGGACACAGATCGATTGCGCCCTGAGGAAGCTCATCGTTTGTGCGGTAAACTAGTTTTTCTGCAGTCCAGCTTGTTTGGCATGGTGGGTAAGGCGGCCATGCACCCACTGTACGCGCGGTCCCACGGAGCGGCTGAGCAGTCTCTCGAGCTGAACCAAGGTCTGAGGGGCGCGATCCAGGCCCTCATTGCTTTACTGGGTAAGGCCACTCCTCGTTGCATACCCCTGCGACGATCGAGTCAACAGACCAGCATTGTGTATGCCGATGCGTTCTTCAAGCTTGGCGAGCGAGTGTGGAAGGTGGGGCACGCACAGGTGCGCCACTGGACGAGGGCTCCCGTTTCCACCCTGACCAACGGCTGGGGCTTCTTGGCTCGCGCTGGCAGTGTGATCACCGCTGGTCATGGGGCTGTCCCTGCAGACATCGTCTCATGCTCCAGCTCTCGCAAAGCTTATATCTTCTTTTTGGAAGTGAATGCTCAACTTCTTGCTCTGCTGGCCAATCGCAGACGCCTCGACTCTTTCTGGGTGTGCTTCATCGATAACACAGCTGGACTTGCTGCTCTGGCCAAGGGTTTCAGTAAAGAGAGTGCAGTCAATAATCTGTTGGCTTTCTTTTGGTGCCTGTGTGCCGAGTTGGGCTGGTTCGGCCACTTCGAGTGGGTGGCTAGCAAGCTGAATCCTGCCGACCCGGTGTCCAGGGGCGAGTTGCAGTCGGCCGTGAAGTATGGCGCCGAGTTCCTTCAGAGCGTTCCTGCCGGTTACTGGCAGCTACTTCGCCGGGTGGCTACATCGATGACGTTCGCGACCAGTTCGGCGGTGGATGAGGCTTTGCGGCTTGAGTTCTCCTTCGGTGGCTCTGAAAGGCTTTTTGAATCCCGTCACGGTGCGGCGTGAAGGTTGTGACGGGCGGTTGAAATTCACCACAGCCAGCCGCACGGGATTCTTCGTTCAGAGGGCAGTTTTTGGCATCTCGAAAGACCACTCCCGGAAAAAGCGAAGCTTCTGGAGTTCAGATGTGCTCTGGCATACGCAGTATCATGTCGAGAAGCACAACTCTTGTGCGTATGGACATGCGACGAAGTAGCAGAGCAACCGAAGCCACGTTGCTCGAGTTACGAAGTTTTCAGTCACCCACCCACCTCTCCCTAAAGGAGTCGGGTCTCTACGTTCCCCTCTCTTCGAGTTTCGTGCGTTGGCGGGTACAGGGTGGTTGAAATTCACCACAGCCAGCCGCACGGGATTCTTCGTTCAGAGGGCAGTTTTAGGCATCTCGAAAGACCACTCCCGGAAAAAGCGAAGCTTCTGGAGTTCAGATGTGCTCTGGCATACGCAGTATCATGTCACAGGACTACTTAGCTACATCATGCACCTATTGCAACGAAGTGAAGCGGCAACTCGGATTTCCTGCAGAGGTGTCCAGAGGCGAGACGGATGCGGAGATGGTCGAGACTGCATCTTGGCCGAGACATCAAGAGTCCCCAGCGGCACTCGCAAGTAGTACATGGGGCTGGCACCTCCCAGAGCAGTGGGTTTAAGCCTTGCTGACACGGAGGATCCCGAGCTCATCAGCCCCTGATCTTGAGCGAAGCTTAGTGGAGCCCCACTTTCACGGTCCGCTTATGGTCAGCGAGGCCTTTGGCGGAGGCCGAGTTGTTTCACTTTGATGGAGCATCGGGCTTCAACTGGGGCTGTAGTAGAGAAGACTGAGCTCAAGATCTTTTCATTGACTCCCATGCGGAGAGGCTGTGCCCTGAAGGGGTATGGAGCCAGATGCTCGCGATTGTTCTGTCGTGCTTTCCAACAGGGAAGGCAGTCTCGGCATCTAGTTCGGTCTGATGTTCTTGTGAGCCGATCCCGTTGCACAGTAGACAGGGCTTGCATTGATCCACCACTGTGCCGGAAGTTGTCAGGGACAAGATTCCTAGCTGAAAGATGCTGAAAGCTTGCAAGTGCTATCACCTCTCCTCCCCTTCCCCCCCGAAGGGACAACATTACGCCGAATTATCTATTACTTAGCAGGCCCGAAGCAGAGCGCAAAGCTGTGAAATAGATTAAAATTCACAGTCGACTTCCCGGCATCCTGGCTTCAATTGCATAGTCGACTTAGTTGTGGAGGCTTGCGCGTGTGAGCCATGGGCAACATCTGCCAATGTTGCGGAGCCAGAGAGAAGGATCCGTCCTGGCTTCCAGACTACGCGTCGGGTGGAAACACTCAGCATGGGTACGCGCTAGCGAAGAATGATCGGCAACGAATGGAAGATGCCGTGCTGATCCATGAGAACATAGCAGGAAATGCCTGCTTCGCTGTCTTCGACGGTCACGGAGGCGAGAAGGCCACTCTACTGGCCAAGCAATTTCTTCCAGAGCAGCTCGAGCATCACCTCCAACAAGACTGCAGCAAGGAGGAAGCTGCCCAACAAGCCTTCGTGGCAGTGGATGAGCTGATGCAGAACAAACTGGCGGAGGAAGCCAAGCAGTTTACAGTGGGCACTTCATCGGGCACTGTCACGTGTGTTGCCCTACTCCAGGCCGACGAGCTCATTATTATCAACTTAGGGGACTGCCGAGCAGTTCTTTGTGAAAACGGGAAGGTGAGCACCACCACACAAGATCACAGCCCGGAGAAAAACGACCTGGAACATCAGCGGTTGAAGGAGCTGGGCGTCAACATCGAAGGGGGCTATGTGGATGGGAGGGTGCAGGTATCACGTGCTCTTGGAGATATCGTCGACAAGACAGGAAAGAAGATCCATGGTCTCAGCAGCATGCCTGATGTCACAGTAATCAAAGTGAAGCCAACCACGGAGTTCGTCATCCTTGCCACAGACGGAGTCTGGGACGGCCTGCGCGAGCAATTAGCGGTCACCACTGCTAGGAAGGTCTTGCGAGAGACCAGGTCTGCAGAAGGAGCTGCAACAGCCGTTCTAGAAGCAGCAGGGAAGGCTACCAAGGCCGACAACGCGGCGGTTATCGTTGTGGGACTTAATGTGCCAGAGCCGCTCCCGAAACGGGATCCGGCCCAGAATCGCTTCCGGCAGAGCTCCAAGACGGAGTGAAGCCTTCGACTTAACATGTGCATGTCGCTGATGTCTCGCGGGTTTGTTCCCGCTGTTCCAGGAGGCGTCACCATCCAACGACGTTTGAAGGAATTTGAACAAACGGGCTCTTTCTCCCTTCGCCAAACACCCACCTTGGATACAGTTTCGAGTCTCGAGTCATTGCTTACAATGGCGTTGTGGCCCGGCAAAATTCTTCATTGCTTGCCGTGTGTTGCGCGTCGTAGGCAAGCAGTGGATGTATGTATTGTGCAATGTGCTGGCAGGTGTGCATTGCAGTTGGAGTGATTTCTTGTGGATCCTAGCAAGCAGAGTCGACAAGAACGGATGCAGCGATGTCATGCTGCAGGATTGGAAGCGCGCACAGCGCCAGAGGCGCAGCAGGCAAATGCCGAAGACGTCCGGCGCTCGGTGAGTTTGAGCAGCTTGGTACAGGAGCATGCTGCAGCTTGCTCAGAACTGCATGCGAACTGCTTTGCAGCAGTGCCATTTTGAAAGAAGTCTGCCAATGCTGGCAGGAGCGAACCAGCAGCGCTGTCGGCCGCTGCCGTACAGCGGCCAGGATCTGCAAGCTTGCAAGTGCAATCAGCCTTGCACCCGATTTCTTGTTGTTCTGGCAGCACGATCTTGCTATAGCCATCCCGCCTTTTTCCAGCTGTTGTGGTCGTCGTCGTGCCTTTTTCTAGTGGTTGTGTTTTGGATTGTTGCTTCAAATCACAGGAGTGGTGCATCGAGACGTGGACGGATCACTGCCAAATGGCTTCGGTGAGGTTGCTGCCTCATGCTGGAGTGCGCCAGAGAGAGCAAATCCGATTCAAGAAGCCACAGCAGCAGCTTGCCCTGTGCACAGACCGCAGGCACAACCGACTTTCAACGCGATGGCGCCGTCCCGATCTCAAGAAAGAACTTAAGCACGTGGGATGAGCAGCCTGGGCCCGTTCCACTGTTTCAGACTTGTGACACTTCAGACTAAGCTTGAGACCAGAGTGACCACTGGCTTGACCTGCTTGGGCTCAGGCCGCCACATGGTCCACCACAAGGTTTGTCCCCGCAAGCCCTCACCAGCGGAGCTGCTCGGAGTTGGGGTGCTGTGCACGACTGTCCTAGCTGTTGTCGCAGACATCGTCGGACCTTTCAAGCAATTTCTAAGCATGACATTGCATGGTCAGCAATAATCACAGCAGTTACGCGCGGCAATAACGAATCTCTCAGAGGATCGTCAGAGCCATAGGACGTCAAAGGCATAATCCGAATGAGCAGAAGAAGATTGACAGTACCACCACCACCACAACCGCTGCAGCTGCTGCCGCTAATTTGCTCGCTCCAGTTGCTGCGACTACTGCCGCCGGCACTGCCGCTTCTGCTGCGGCTGCTGTTGCCATTGCTACTACGATTTCTACGACCGTTACGACTCCGACGACCAAGCGGACAGCATGCGTTCTGTCGACCGTCGAGGAACCGCCATCTGTCGGAGACAGTCGTTGCTGAGCCCACCTATTCAATCCTATTCCTATTCTTATTGACGGGCTGTCGACTGCGGCTGTCATGTGCTACTAGCATTCCGCTATTTCTTGTTGCGTTATGACATTGATGATGATGGCCATGGTGATAGTGATGGCGCTGAACCACGGAGATCCAAACCTGCTAAACTTCACGAGCTCGGGTTACCGTTTTGCTTCCTCCGGGACTCTGCAATCGGGCGGCTGCTCGCCAGAGGCCGGGGGTGTCTGGCTATTCTAGATGATCGGTGGGTCTTGTGCTGTGAGTGAGGTGAGGTCGATGGGCTTTGATGTGGGATGCTAGCAGCTTTAACTTCATGTCACAATGACTCCGTGGGTCGCATGTCACAGAGCCGACCAGAGCGTTCCCGTATGGTCATCGCAGGCTCCAGCGTTTGAGCTGGGTAAACAGTTGATGAGTCAGACAAAGCATAATGGCGTAGTGTGCTGTGTAATTTTTAGAATTGCCAAGCATGCAGCGATAGAGGAGCAGACAAGGCATCAGTGCATCCTTTTCGAGCTTCATTGCGCCAAACCTCCCAACAAGGACGAAGGCTTACACAAACCATTTAGGTTACTCTTCAAAGAACAGTTCGTCCACTACCCCTCGAACTAGTCGCATTCTTCCGAACTGTCTGTAGCCGCCTGCCAACGTCATGCTTCTAATGTAGCTGGCCCGGCGGCGGCGACTGACGAGCGACTGTGCTGCAACAGTCTGCAGCACGGGGAGCGGTGTTGCCAGCGGCCTTCTCTCTATCGAAAGACTTGCAAGCTCACACACGTGGCCCATGTTGTGCTCCCTCTGCGGCAGAAAGCCTGGCATGCCTTTAGTGGCCGAAAATTCAGGTTCAAAGATCAGGGTGGCTATAGGGTTCGCTTCAGGCTTCTCCAATGGAGGCCGCGAGCAGCTCGCCCGACGAACCTCAACAGGCATCAGTCGGTTTCGGGTTCTGATCAAAGCAACAGCCTGCAGCATTCCACTGGGCACTTTCTCGATTTTGAAGGAGGAAAGGCCTCCAAAGCCAAATCTCTGCAGGCAAGAGCCTTAGTTAGATGCGCTGCTTCCAGACTGTAGCTCAGGGTTGTGTCAGCTTGGAAGAAGACCCTAGCGACACAGGCTGCTCCTGAAGCAGCTGGAGGACAAGTTCCTGGCCATTGGCCGTCGTGCAGAGAAATCGAGGCCGCGGGGATGCGCAGGGAGGCGCTGCAACCAAACACATACACGTACATATTATTATTATTATTATATATATATACTATATGATGATGTATTATATATGCTGTTTGTGTTTGTATATGACATAGTATGTATTGGGGGTCTGGTTGGCAGAGTGGGTCCGGAGTCGCAATAAGCTGCTTGTATGCGCACTGTCACTGGCCCCAACCTTTCTCCATGAACTTCTTGCTCCTCTTTCGCTAGAACCGACAGGTCTGGGCACCAGGAAGATGTCATAGCCTCAGTCCCCCAAATGTGCATGGAGTGATCGAACAGAACTTCTACGAGCGCGAATTGGGAGCTGCTGTTGTCTCAACACGACCCGCCGTTTCAAAGCCCCGGACAGAGAGGCCAATCAGCTAGTGGAGGCCGAGTACAGGCCATGGCAGCTACAGTGCAAAGTTCTCTTCGTGACATGTTTGGAAGGTCATATTCAGGTCCTGGTTCACAGGTTCTATGCTGCAGTGTTCGTCGCTCCGGGGCCGTTGTTTGTCATCGCGCGCTTCTCTGCTTGTGGAAAAGTTTGCTTTGCAACGCTGGATGCGCTTGCATGTTTTTACAATTTTTTATACATTTTTTATGCATCTCCGACTACTTGTCGATGCTGGGTTTAGAGGTATGATGTCTGGGCCCATCGCCATTTGTCCACCTCTTTGTTGAGTTAATCGTCTGTGTGGTACTGATATAGCCGGGGGGTTGTAGTCGTGCATCAGTCAATCTCTCGCTCAACGTGTTCACCGGTCAAAATTATGTTTCCACGTATCTGAAAAATCCGTCTACGTGTTCGTCTGTCTGCCCTGCCAGTCCGTCCATCGTGTCTGCACACACACACACACCCCTATCTATATATATATATATATAAAATTATATATATATATATATATTTCTTTTATGTTATATTTCTTCTTTTATTTGTTTGTTGTTTTGTTCGTTTGTTCGTCTGTTTGTCTGTTTGTTTGTTTGTTTTGTTTTTTACGCCTTTGCTTGTTTGTGCATTTGTTTATTTTGTTCATATATATATATACGTACACACATTTTCCATTATATTCATGTTTCTGTTTGTTTATATTTAAGTTTAGATTTGTGTATTCATCCATTGACTTATCTGTTCATGTCTGTAATTATGTAAATATGTATTTACATGCGGTAATTTGTCTGTCTGTGCTTCCGTGCGTTTTGATGCTGTCTGTCTGTGTGTGTATATTTATATATACACGTGCTTTTGTTTCGTGCGTGTGTACGCTTGTGCGTGTGTATTAATGTATGCTTGCTTGAGTTTGCGGATGTATCTATTTGCATCTACCCGCACAGTCTTTTGTGCGAGACAAGTAGATATACATGCAGACATGCAGGCACGAAAGCCGACAGACACATCGGAATGTCGTTGGGGACATCTCTGCTGCCTCTGCCTGCAGAAAGCTTCGGAAGCAGGCCGCGGTCCTTCCTCCGGCGGCGCGCGCCCGATGAGATCGAGGCTCAGCTCGCGATCCTGCTTGGGGATTGAGGCTTCAGGCGAGGGAGAGACCTCGAATCTGAAGTAATCGGAGCCTTCAGACCGGGTCACGCCGCCTGCCGATTGCGGTCTTGTTGCTTCCGCGCCGGTGACGTCATGGCTGAAACGTGGCATTTCTATTCCCAAAATCTGTCAGACATCTGCGGTTTTAAGTCGGTGCCCCGGGTCAGACCGCGGTGACGCAGCTGGACCAGGGAGCCCTCAACATGGCCAAGAAGAGCTGGGCCCTTGGACTTCTAGCCTTGGAGAGAGAGAGAGAGAGAGAGAGAGACCCTGGCGAAAGAAAAAAAGAGAGAGAGAGAGAGAGAGAGAGTGTGTGTGTGCTTGTTAGGTTGCGCCCTTTGTAAAGTCGGCCAGTTCCTCCACTAGTTGCTCTCCGAAGATGCCTGGATGACCCCAATGATGCCTGCAAGGTTGTACATGTCCATGGTCTCAGGAGGGGTGGTCGTTGGGGGCTGGGGTTAACAGGCATACTGGGGGGAACAGCTTCATCTTCACCCCTGAATGGGGGCTACAAGACGACCTTGCGCGGACCGTTGAGGGGACCGTTGAGGGGTTGGCACGGGCCGGGGGGTTCGCCCCCAAACCCCAAGCAAGCAAGCAAGCAAGCAAGTGTGTGTGTGTGTGTGTGTGTGGTATGTGTCCCTGCCGAAGAAAAAAGTAAGTGTGTGTGTGTAGGGTCTTCCACTACACCCTGGCGAAAGACAGGGTGTAGCAGAGAGCATGCAAGTTCAAACTCTGTGTGTGTGGAAGTTGTCACGGAGCCAAGAGGTTTCACCAGCAACCTTGACTTGACCGAGTTCGCAGAGGCTCTCCGACAACTCGACTCTTTTGGGTTGTGTTGGACTTAGCCCACCCACTGCAGGCCATTGTCAGCACCGGCACCTACGATGCGGACCGGGTCTTTGTCTCGGAAGTCGCGAGGAGGACTTCGGTAATGCCTTCCAGGCCATGTTTTCTTTTCTGTTGTTTCCGGTGGGACATTCGTACGGTCTGGTACATATTCCGTCCTGTGTTTGCTATGCATCCATCAGAAGGTTCCAGCATCGAAGGCATACTACCAGTGCCGATGTAGCACTCGCGCAGCAAGAAGTTGGCAGGGCGGGCATCTTGGGTTCGTCTTTACCCGGCCTCGTGAGCACTCTCCACAGGGTCATTCGTTGATCGGCCAGCAGTGCCTTGAGTTCGAAAAGGAGCTCGCAAAAAGAAACATGGGTGAACAACAAGAGCATTGTCTCGTAAGGGGTTGCTGGGGGTCCTTGTCCTTTTCGAGTCCTACCACCCAGGTCCTCGCTTTTGTCAGCGGCGTGGTCGACCTTTACCTCGAGGCGCTCACGTCACAAGTCTTGCTCTAGGCCTAGACGGCCCGGGGCGCCGCGATAAAGGAGGTGCGATCTAGTGGGCACCATGCCGCGTTGTGGGCTGCCAGTCCAGTTTTAAGGCATCAAGGCCTGTTTGCACAAACGAGGGAACACGCAGTAAGGTCAACTTCCCCGCCACAGAAGAGACAGAGAGATGTCCCTTTTTTCTTCCATGCTCTTCCGGAACGCTTGGGTGCCCGTGGCCAGGTCTTCCGATCCCAAGGCGAGCGGGCGTCCGAACGTGCCGTGAACTGGGCGCAGGCAGAGGGCGAAATGCTCGAAGCCATGGTCTTGGCTGGTAGCTGCTTTTCTTGCTCTTCGCTGTTTGCGCTGCTAGTAGCTAGTTGCTGCCCAGTTACTGTCATCGTGCCTCATCCTTGATTTTTCCTGTCATATATATGCGTAGTTGCTCATTGAAATTGTCGCTTAATGTTTACAAAGGGGAAGCTTTGGTGTGACCGGTGGTCGCTGCGGCGATTCTGAGTTTTACCGAGGTTGTCACTTTCCTTACCAATCGCAGGTCCGTCGCTGCTACCAGGTGTAGACTGGCAAGTGTCTGCGCTTGCATCGAAGGTGTGTTGTTGTTGCTGCTGCCGCCGTTGATGATAATGACGATGACATATTGATGATGCTGGTGGTATTGACTAGCTCCTCTTGTCCTGATCATTGGCTAGTTCCTGGCTGCTATAGTAGTGCTGTCGCTGCTGCTGCTGTTGTTGTCGTTGTAGCAGTTGTACATCTCGTAGCGTCTTGACAAGTGTTTCGTTCTGCTACTTACTGTTAAAGCGGCTTACCATGCTGTGACAATGATGATGACTGGGTCATGCTCATAGACTGTGGGAATGCTGACCTGACAAAGTCCTGATTGCAGTTGATGAACCACTTCATCGAGTCCCCAGAGATCGTCATGTTCGAGGGCAACGAGGCAACTTGGAACCCTTGCATCCGAACTTGCCGGCACACAAAGACCGTCCAGCAACACCGCAACCGTTCAGTCTCCTGTACGTTTCCATCATGGGCCGTGCCTTGCAGGTTTCGTCCGCCGGCCCGAAGAGCGTGTCCGGTGCAGAGAACTTGGCGCAGGCCCAGACGGGTCGAGAGACTTGCCTCAGAGCCCGGCTCATAGGGCCTCTCTGATGCGTCGGTGGAGGTCCGACGAAGCAATGTTGTTGACTGCGCCAAGCACATGGCAGGGGCCACAGGTCGGGTCTGGATGTAGCGTCACCGATTATGTTGTGCCCTGTGCGGAGTTGAAATCCACATGAGGCAGCTGACTTTCTTAAGTGCCGCGAGTGTCATCACTTTGATTAGCCGCATCGGCCCATGTGCCCCTTTCGGAAAGGAAAATTCCCAGAAAGACTACGGGACTGCATATACCTGAAAGCCTGAAAGATGAAACCCGATCAGCCAAGGGCTCCGTTATCCACAAGATCAACTGGATGGCTTCCCTGGAGATGCTCACCTCGGTGCCTGCAGGGTGCAGGGTGTGTTGGTACGCCTTTGCACGCATGTGTGTATCTATACATATGTTACATGTACAATTATATAAAAGTATTATATACACACACGGTATAGAATATACGGTACATATGCACACACATGACATACATATCCATATATGATATGTATATACATGTGTATGCACCCGTGTTGTCATATGTGGGTGTGTATGCAAAATAGTAATAGTAGTTACATTGTCAGTATTCGTATTCTCGCCAGTTCTGCTCCTAGTATCATAAGCACTTGCAGCAACACTATCACTAGTAGTGATGATCCTCCTCCACCTGCTGCTGCTCCTACAACAACACCACTACTACCGCCCCTAAAGATGACGATTGCTACTACCGCTGCTGTTGCTGTTACTGCTGCTGCTGCTACTGCCGCTGAGGCTGCTTGCTCCAAATGACAAATGAAGCGTAGTAGCATCAATGGAAATAGCAAGATAACACAAGACAGAAATCCGGATGGAGGACTTCAAACCATACAAGATAACATAGCATATGATCATCTCTAACAAGATTAATTAAACCAGGCAGCAAATATGTAAATCCAGAAATGCAAGCAATGGAAATAGACATAGATCATAAAAATCGAGTACACATGTGCATGTATACATCTATACTCATACACTCATACACACGTGCATACATACATGCATGCATGCACGCATGCATGCATGCATGCATAAATACATACATACATACCAACATAAATACATACTAACATACCAACATACCAACGTACCAACATACCAACATACCACCATACCAACCTACATACATGCATACCTGCATACATACATACAGACATACATACATACATACATACATACATACATACATACACACATACACACGCACATACCTACGTAAGATTAATATGAGCCGGAGCAGGTTGAGGGCACGGAGTCCGTGTACTTCTGGTCGCCTTTCATGGCTTGGGAGCCTTGGCTCGTTCTTTCTCTGGGCTATAAACGTGATGACAGTGACTACTGAAACATCTCTTCATCCTGCACTAGGAAACAGCACGTGTTGCCGGCAGCCAAGTTGTCCTCTGTGTAGTCAGGGCAGACAGAAGACAGGCGAATGGTAGTGCTTTGTCGAGGTCACACCTCAGCTGCCAGCAGACTTTTACGACGAGCGCCAGAAGCCTGCACCCAAGACCTACCTCGAAAGAAAGCTCTGCAAAGCTTCACGTCCTTCAGGCGGGTCCTAGAATCGGCCAAGGCCACTGTGGACTGTCCATGCGGTTGCGTGGGACAACGACTCTCAGGACAGCTTCAAGCGCGCTCGTCGGCTTTCAATGTAAAGTAAGTAGATCACCCGAAGACGACAGGTCCTTAGAGCTTCGTGTCGGCTCTCCAAGCGGATGCTTTGGCCCAGGACTTGGTGGCCTTGCTAAGCAATCGCTTTCTTGTCTTCTGGCGCCTCCGGAACCGGGACAAGGCCGGGGGGGGGGTTCAAAGCAGCGTACGCAGCTCTCAGCATCCCTCCCCCTGCTCTCAACTGGCACGCCGAACGCAGGGCCAGTTCCAGCAGAAGAAGGAGTTTCGCTTTCATGCCACGCGGTCTCAGGACACTCGGGAGACGGGTTTCACCAGGCACTGTAATCGTCATCGTCTAATGGTGCACCTGTCCTTGGTGACAGCATGATCAGCACACAGGGCCGCAACTCCTCTTCGCACGAAATCAGCCAATGGGAGGCAGGCCCTTTTGAGGGTTGCCTTTGCCTTGAGTCGCTGTGAAAGCTATGCTGTGCATCCGTGCCGTGGCGAGGTTCACCTGCGCACGCTCGATCCCAAAAACGGGGCCACGAACTCAGGTAGTTTTCTCATGGAGTCAGCCGCGCCAGTTCTTCTAGCATGAACAGATACATGGTGTGGGAAGAGACAGGACCTCCTCCAAGATCCTCCCAGCAAGAAGGAGCCTTTGCTCATGAAAGCAGCACTTCAGCTGGATGCTCGGGGAAGGGAGTTGGCCTGGGTCCATTCAGGAAGGACAAGCTTTCCTTGCACTTTTCAAGAAAAGGGCAACAGATGCCAGGAGCCTTCGGAAGCCGGAGCTCGGCGTGACAAGCGCGAGGAGCGGCTTGCCCATTACAAAGCTGTGCCCTGCAGCATGCTGCTGCCTTGTTGTGTGGCCGCTGCCTTTGTGGCGCTCTACCGCCTAGAGGTCCTTGACAGGGCATTTGCCAGGCAAAGTGCGAAAAGAGCAGCTTGAATTTAGGAGTTGCATAATTGGAGACAGTTCTCTTGAAGGGATGTTTTTTTTGCTCCGAGAAGAAGGGGCAAATGAGTCCAAGAAACTTGACTTAGGCGCTTTGCAGCAGAAGCAGCGCAGCAGCTGGACATCTGGTGGAGTGCCGCTGCCTTGGGAGCCTCGGCAACGGGGAGCCTGTCTGCAGCTCATCCGTGCATGGTCCAAAACACAAGCCTTGATGCAAGGCCAGCATGAAGGTCTGGGTGACAGCCGACTACAACGGCAGGCCTGTCGCTTCGTGGTAGGGAGAAACGCAGTTTCGAGCTCTGCAGGTTTCTCTTGTGGGATCTGCGTGAACACAGCATCGCGACGACTATCGCACCGACGAAGGCCGGGTGGATGGCCGCAGAAGGTATTGTAGTGGAACGGGCTGGGAAACAGAATCGGTGGCTGGCTTGCGTCGTTTGAATCGTGTCGGGAGTTGTGGACTGTGCACTCTGTCGGCTGTCCGCCAGGTTTTGCAGGCTCACAGCAAAGTGGCATGGGCTCCCAGTTCCAATCGCAGCTGCAGGTTGTAGACTCGTAGACAAGAGGATAACAAGTGCGCCATGTTTTGGACATTCGAATCCTGGGGCCATGCAGCAAACCTCGCCTGCAAAACAAAAGGAGCCTGAAGAAACCCCTAACGGCCAAAGCGAACCCGAATCCCTCTGAGATCACGACTTTCCTGGAGCTTAGCACTTTCAAGTTCACCACCGGCAGTTTGGATCGGTCAGCTGGGCGCCCAGAAATTAGGGTTCATTCCACTTGGGGACTTGAGACGCTCTCAGCGTGTCAGTTCGTGGGCCTTCCACTGAAATTCCGCTGTCAGCTTCCCTGGTGCTGGTGTTCCTTGGTCTCGATCTGTGGCGAGCTTCCATGACTTTGCTTGCTGGTACTGTCGTAAAGCTGATCCCTTTCCAGAGAATCTGTATCTCTTCTCCTCTCATCTTTACTTGCAGCGAGCGTGGACGCCTGAAATCCACACCCTGAAACACCAGTCTTGTATAATATTCACAGCACGCGTCGCCTGAGGTGTGCCTCTGGGACCACCGCAACCTCTCTGGCCCCGAGGTGAAGTTGGAGGACTGGCACATAGGTAACATAGCCCAAGTACACCAGAGAAGGAACAACGCGAGGCCTCTCAAGGGCTCGAAAATGTCGTAGTGTGCTGAACATCATAGACCTCCTTTTTTGGCCTCCTCAAGCTGTGCTCTTCAGCCATGAAGCCCCGAAGGATGTACAGTGTGAAGGTCTGCCGGCCGAGTCTGCGTAGTTTCTTTCTCTTTTGCCTTGTCTGCTCTGTGGGTTTCTCTCTGGCTGGGGTGACCTTGGTGACCCTCGAGCACAGGGAGCCGCTATGTACAGACTTCCTGGACAGTGAAAGCTACGACTACGATTCAGCCGAAGCTGGCAGGGCCATCGACGATTCCGTTCACGTGGTGACCTGGGCAACCTCTGACTCGGGATACTTGCGACGGCTCAAGGCTTCAGCTGCTTGGCAGGGCTATGCTCCACTGACAGTCCTGGGCTTGGGTACTTCTTGGCGTGGTCCGTTCTATTCGAAATTGGTGCCTTTATTTTCCTTTCTCCCGAAGCTGGGCGATCAACTTGTGCTTGTGCTGGACTATGATGCCTTCCTGCAGCAGGGCCCGAGTGCCCTAAAGGAGGCCTACCGCGCCAACGCCCGTCCCGGCAACGTCTGGATCAGCGCGGAGGCCCTCTGCAACGGCAGAGCAGAGCTGCCTTTCGAGCAAGCGAACGCTGCGGAACGGAATTCGCATGGCCAGAGCTGCTACCCTTTCCAAAGCCAGCGGCCAAATACACACGGCTCCGGTCAGGCGGGTGCAAATAGGTTTCTGAACACCGGCTTTACAGTAGGGCCCGCCGACAAGGTGCTGCGCTTCTACCAAGCCGTTCAGGATGCGGTGCCCTGGTGGGATCAGTATGCCTCCGGTGTGGAGCAGTGGTGGGCGGGACGCTTGCATGCCACAGCCGCATGGGCAGACTTAGTAGATCTGGACTCTCAACAGCGAGGTGCTGGTGTGGTACTGGGTACCGAGCTTCTTCAAAATCGCAGTGACACCTTCGGTGTCCCATCTCAGCGTAAAGTGGTTTGGGGCAACTGGATCTGGCACAATGGTCTGCTGCAACATCCAGACGGTCATGCGCCCATAGCGGTTCATTTTCCCAACCAGAGGCGTCGCGAGAAGGTGTTCGAATATTGCATGCTCTGGAAGCTTCTGGCCGCAGAGAGACTTGGGACGAAGTCGACGGTTTAGCCAGCGCCGCTCCCTCGCAGCTTCGGGCAGTCGTAAAACTCGCGGGACAGGCCCAATTTGGCCCAATTGGACAGGAGTCCTGTGCTTTGTGGAGTTATGCCAGGAGCACACAGGCTCCATCCGAGCACAGGCGACGATTGGCTGCAATGAGTCCGGGCTTCATCGCTTGTAGGAGTGGACGCGAAAGCAGCCGAGGTACTTGCCATTGTTCTCCAGCCTCGTCACAGTGGGTCCGATGCTCAAGTCTTGTTATCCAGCCTTTGCCATCGCGGCTTCGAGTGACCCAAACCGCGGTGGCCCTCTGCCTCGAGTCCTTCTGAGGTTGTGAGAAACGGGTCTTTGTATGGTCGATTGATTCGACGGCCTACCGAGGTGTCCGGAGGCTCAGTTCAAGTTCGCCCGCAAAAAGGTAGAACGACCTGTGGATGAGAACATCCAACATGTATCATCTGGGACAACGCATTCGGTCATTCAGGAATGGGATGGGGGGCGCAGCCCATCCTAAACCATTGTGCAAGGACCGTGTACACTCATGGAACAAGCTTGCAGGCAACGTCTGTCTCTGTGTGTGTGTGTGTGTGTGGCTGTCTGTCTGTCTGTCCGTCCGTCCGACTGTCCGTCTGTCTGCCTGTCTGTCTGCCCGTCCGTCCCTCCGTCTGTTTGCCTGTCTGTGCGTCCGTCGGTCTGTCTGTCTGGCTGTTTGTCTGTCTTTATGTGTCTAGTACATATGTATATGTATATGCCTTTTTTTTTAATGTTTGGATATGGGTATGCATAAGCACATGTGTTTGCCTTTGCTGGCTCTGTGCATGTGTTCGTATGTCGGCAGATAGGTATATATATATATATATATATATTTTTTTTTTACATATATATATATATACACACACACATATATTTCTGTTGCTCTCTCTCTCTCTCTCTCTGTCTCTCTGTCTCTGTGTAGTCGCATAGTTATGCATCGATGTACCTATTTCTTTGTGTATCTGTGTGTCTATGTGTTGACTGCTATCGCTACTGCTACTGCTACTGCCGCTACTGCTCCTGCTCCTGCGCCTGCTCCTGCTCCTGCTCCTGCTGCTGCTGCTGCTGCTGCTGCTCCTGCTGCAGGAAAACATAGAAGCGAATGGTTCTCCCAAACCATACAATCTAAAGACAGCGACTTGTTGCCAAGACTCAAAGAAATGATGGGCGGCAAAAACGAGGCTAAAGACCCTAATAGCTGAAAGGAGGATAGGACCATACGTCCTAGCAAGTGAGGCAGACGAAGCAGTCGGTACTCACATGCGAACAGCATGGAACAGCAAAGAAGAGCTTGCTGTAGTAGCCAGCAGATGCATGTCGATCAGGTCAGGGCGAAGCTCTCCGCACACCAGTCCAACCTCTCAGGAGCAGGAGCCCCAACAAGGTGAAATTGTGAACAGCGCTGCATGACGCTGCAGTGTTGCACCCGATGTTCTTCACAGGTTTCCGCTGGCCAAAGAGTCTTCGTTACCTTGGATGAGGCTTCAGTTGCGTTGTCACATCCGGAAGTCTTGGGAGAAACACCGCCAAAGCAACATGCATGGTCTGCCAGGCCTGTATCTTCATCCTCTGGGATGGTGCGACTCTAGCGGCGCTCCAGACGTGCCTGGGGCGGAAGATGATGCACACATCTGAGAGGCCTTGACGGAGTCTGGGCCTTCCCAAAACTTCGCCCAGTTTCGGAGAATGTGCTTTGCAACGGAACGGCAACTGCAAAGCCTCATGGATTTTGAGTCTTGAGATGGAATGCTGGTCAATTGCCTAAGGACAAATTGCTTCACCCTCGGGCCTCGCCATGTGGTAGTCATGCCCTCGCCAGGAACCGAAGGTCGTCTTGCACTGTGGAGTCGCTCGTTGCCCTAAACGGACTCCTTCAGGCTCGGACGCATTTGCTTGGCAGGGCGAAGGCTCAACTTCTTTGCCTCGGCCTTAGCACGTCTTGGACGACGTGGCCTCATCACTCCCTCACCATTCGAGGAAGGCAATGAGCAGGGCTCCATCGCACTTGGTGCAGCGCCGACGAAGGACCCCATGCACATTCTGGTTGTACGGCAGTGTGAGCGATGCGCCTGCTCTCGTTTTGTTTCAATAGGATTCGGCGTGGGCGGCGCAGGGGTGGGAACGTGAACAGCTACGGACAGCTGTTTCAACCTGGCTTTTTGGAGGAGCAAGTTGCCATAGCAAAACGTCACATGCTCAGGAAGAACTGTCTGAATTATGCACAGCCTCACGCTGACAACATGCGCATCCGTCATCCGCCCTCCTCCTCCCGATCCTCCAGTCATGCCCCTTCTCACCAAAAAAGCCAAGGTCGCGAAGCCGAGGGTGCGAGCCTGAAGGACCTGGGTGGCAGGCTCTAGCTGAGATGCTGTGGGGAAGCTGTGGCAGTTTTTGGGCTCGGCAGGTCCAGTGCTTTTGATTTGTGGATCTCTTGTTTTAGCGGTTGGCGATCAGCAGTCGAACTTGAGATTTGGGATGGGCCATCAGCCATGCGCGCATTCGCAGGACCGCGCCGCACCGAAGTGGTCGCAGCCCCGAGCGGTTTATCGCCATGCTGCAGGTGTCGTGTCGGGGAGTTTGTTGGTGCGGCTCGGGCAGGTGTGGCCTGGGTCCATCACGAGGCCACCTGTGCTTGATGTTCATTCGGTTGTCTCCACTTGGTTGATCTGCCATTCTCTCCCGTCTATGTCTGTCTCGTTCAATCTCCCTTTTCTTGCTGGAATGCTCGCAAGGGTTAGGATCCAGCGTATCAATTCGTAGATGTCGATGCAGAGTCGGAAAGGCCTCTTCTGTGTGTTTGCATGCGTGAGGAGTGCTGCTGTCGGCGACCGAAGCCGAGGCTCTGAGTTTACATGTGAGAGATTGCGCGAGTCGGACCGGATCCAAAAGCTCTCAGTCCTTGTTGAAGAGTTTCACGTCGTAGTCGGCAAATCGCACCGCTATTTGGCTCAAAGCAGACGTTAATGCTGTATTGAGGCGCAGGCTTGCCTTTGTCAGCCTGCGCCGCCTGCCCCGCCGCCCTGAAAGCACAGTGTTTCAGCTACAGCGCCATGTTCTCACTCGGTTCCTCCAGGGAGCGGGTGGCCTTCCGCGCTCTTCTGCGGCTATCCCGTGCTGCTGGCAGGCACCCGAGGTGCGGACACGGGGTGATCCATGGCTGACTCCTGGGTTGCGGCGTGTTCTGCGAGTGGACGAGGCGCCTGGCAGCTCTTCTCGGCCGTGCGCCTCGGATGTGGGATCCACAGGCCTCGGAACCTTGCACACCACAACAAGGACAGCATACCAAGAGCGAGAGCATGACAATCTGAAGTGTCCCCCCTCTGCCAGAAAGCCCAAGCCGTGACATCGTCGACAAGCGAGCATCCTTGGGTGGACGAGGCCCGGAGAATTCGGGCTTGAATGGCCATTTATTCCAAGCGTTTTTTCGGCATCCCCGGCTCGTTGGCTGTGCAAGCGAGGTCAACACCTTTGTAGACTGTTGCCGGGGTTCGGTTCAGAGATTCAGGTTACCTTGAACCTCGAAAGCAGTCTCCTACCCAAGTGACCCGCCCGCCACCACGATTTTCCGCCCAAGCCCTCCAAAATCAACACTTCAAGCTATCACAAGATCTCACAAGCTGCTGATACTCGTTCGACCTGGATTTCCTCGTCCTCATGTGTAGCAAAGATAGATCGGTGCAGCAAAGATCTGGGAAGTGCGACGCATTCATGAGCTCAGATTCCAAGGTCGGGATGAAGAGTGTGCCGACCCGACACTCTTAACCCTGAGCTCTACACCCCGAACCCGGAACTCTAAACCTTAAAGCCTAAACCCAACACCCGAAACCCTAAACCTTACAGCCTAAACCATGAACTCGAAACCTTAGAATCCTTAGAGTTTGAAACCCTATACAGGCTTGTGCCCTGCATAGCTCGAAGTAGACAGGCGCTGCGCGCTGCTGCCAGCGGCTCCACGGAGTTTGCGCTTCCGCGCCAGGGCCGTGCGGCGGCGCGGCGGGGTTCCCAGGAAAGCGCCCAAAAGTAAGCAGAGGAGAGACAGAAACTAACTACTAGGGCCCAGGGCTTGATTTTAGCAGTTGTTTTTTGTAAGGCGTAGGAATGCTGAGCGCCTTGGCAACAGATTTTGTTTTCGGGATGTTTGCAGACATGGCAGTCTTCAAAGGTCAGGCAGACTCAATCTGATTTATTGTCTCTCTGTCCATCTTCAGGGCCATGCGGTGGCACTGGACCTTCACACAGATGCTTGGCTTGGAGTACCTCCCACAGGTGCACAGGGCATGAGACTTTGCGAGTCTTCGCAGAGCACTCGAAAATCCGAAGCCTTGGAGGCATCGGAGATTCTTCATCGACTGGAGCAGGCGCGCTCTGCTGCAGTGCGATTGGGCACCTTGCCGTGGACCCAGCGGTGCATGCATTCCTGCCCACCAAACTTGCGATCAAACCGACTGATAGAAAGGTCTGTTCCGTCCTCTCGGATGTTGGACATGCCGATGTGGGGCCGGCGAATTGAGCTTCATTTGGGGCACGATTTCCTGTGTCTTGGAAGTGGCGCGCGGCGTCCGGGAAGCACGCAGGATAGAAGTACCGTAAAAGCGCCGTGGCGATACACCCCGGCAGCGTGGAGCAAAGTTCACGCCAGAATCCCTTTTCCACATGCCGCTGACACAGCAGAAGTGCAGTTGCACAGAAGCGGAAGCGTCAAAAGTAGCGGCCGCGGAGCCGGAGCAGGAGGAGGAGCAGCAGGAGCAGGAGCAGGAGCGGGAGCAGGAGCAGGAGAAATTATTAGCAAGAAGGAAAGGTTGTAGCAAGAACATCAACATCAACAGCAACACTGACCGCAGCAACGGAAACTTCACCAAGAGCGGCAAGGATAATGGTATCAACACAATCACAGTATCAAGAAGAGCAAGAGAGCATTCGCAGCAATGGATACTACTGGGTAGTTGCTCTAAGGGGTCGCCGCCTAGCAGAAGGCACTGTCGTTGCGTGTGCACCTGGGAAATGGCAGTATAAGCTCATTTCATCCAAACATTACTCCATCCACGGTACCGGCATGGATCTGCGTACACTTGGAGGCCTTCAATGTCGCCGCACAGCACCAAACGTTGCAACAATACAGCATCACCTTGCGGAAGTGTACCGCCGCCCTATGCGACTAAAGTCGCTAAGAAGCGCATCGTTGTCGTGGCAGGCCTGACCTGGAGCAGATGCAGCCGGGCGAGGGAGTGCAGGCGAGGTGAGAAGCGTTCCTCCTTGTCTACATCCGCATCCATCAGTTGACCTGCTTGTCTACTTATGAGCCGATCCGTCCTCATCATATCCTGTTCCGTATCTACTTAAATATACCTGCATCTTTACAGCAGTGCAGGTCTCCTGTGTCGGCTCTCTTTGCAGGAGGGCGATCTGCTGCTCACCCACCCGTTGTCGGGTTTGTTTCAGCCAGTGCCAGAGACTGAGCCAGAACGGGCTAATAACTCAGAGTCAATTAGAGGGGCCCCTCTGTGAGGTTCGACCAGTCTTTCATACTGATCGTCCATGTTCGGAAAGCCCCTTGGCAAGCAGGTGTGTGTTCCGGTTTGAACCCCCTCTTCTTTTGTTGAGCTTGCGACATCTCAGGATAAAGACTGGGTCCAGGGAGTCGTTGTGAACAAGGCAGATTGTCTCACGTTGCTGGCCTATCATGTTTTCTTCTCCGAAATCAGCTTGTATCTCCTGTTTGACTACTGTGCACACACAGGCACACAGATAACAAAGCACACGTGTACATCTGTCATCCCTCGTGCCGATCGGGGTTTGCCACGCATATGCAGATAATTGCATGCATGCATAGATGCGCACATGCACACATGCGTGCAGACATAGGTACATGCATACATACGTACGTACAAACTTGCATAGATGAATGCATACATACATGCCCACATACATAGCTGATCAGCCATGAGGCAGGTTCCATGCATGTTGATCCAACAGGCTTGCAAGAGCCCCTTGCTTTGCTCGGGTGATGTCAGGCTTTACTTGGTGTCGGTTTCTTCAACGTGGGAGTATAGGTCGTTGACTTTGTCAGCTGTCGTGGTTGTGCATGGATTTGGCTATGGGCGGCCCTGAAAATCCTGCTTACTGGTTACTAGATCAGCTCGGCTCAAGCTTGTCAGGAGGCGGAGGAGACGATCTCTCAAACGCTTGTGGAGAAGCCCACAACTTTGCTGTCGAGGCGCTTGCGTCGATTTTGCAGTCAGCCTACTGCGGAGTGTCCTTGGCAGCGGCGTTCTGTTTGCTTGATGCCCGTGACGATGGGTGATACACGATGTTTAGTCTTGCTGGGACCTGACAATCCCAGGCCGGATACTCGTGGCACGGACTGGAATGCACTGGCATTTGGACCGTTGGAGCCTTTGTTGGAGGAGAAGGTCAACAAAGGCACGGCGGGCTCAGGGTTTTGCCTTTGTTCTTCGACGTGCCCCCACAGGTGGACCCGTTACGGCCGACAGCCTGGATGAGAACATGCTGTGGCTTCACAGTTCCATTGGCAGCAAGTAAGATCGCTTCTGCTAAGACTTGTGGCAGTCGCAGTAGCAAGTAGAGTATGGGTACAGTCGCAACAGCACTTGCGTCAAGAGAAGTGCATGAGCAACGCCAGGAAGAAGCAAGCCCTGCGTATCCGACTCGCCACAGGGCGACTTTAGATCCTGAGCCGGAAAGCTCTTTCCAGGCTACGAAGATGTGCCCGGTGCAAAGGTGTGTGGGACTCAGGGTGAAGGAGCAGAGCGAACTTTTGAGGATGCCTGATCCAGCCAGCTCCGCAGGCTCCACCAGGGCCTTGCGGTTGGCGGCGACCTCGCTGCCACGGCGGAACGTTCGAAGGAGAGCCTCAAAGGGATGATGAAGATCATCAAGGCCCGCTCCTAGCAGAAGTTTCTGCGGGTTTTTGTGCGTGTTTTCGTGCTGACTCAGGGCTTCTCTGGCTGGGGGTTCCAACAGCTGAAGCTTGAGCTCGAGCGCGGAGTGTGGGTACACCTTCGAGGCGGAGGATTTCCAGACTTGCCGAGACTTGCCAGCTTTGTGGCACTCACCACTCTGATGGCCAGGCGGCGCACCCGCAGTACGTCAACTTGTCGCGAGCCTAGGGCGAAGAGAGAGCCTCAGCTCAAGATGGCTTCTCGCCTCCGAGGTCATGGCTGACGGCATTACCCCGTGGAGCTCCGCGCTCGCCTGCTGTGGTCTCGATTCGCGCCTCGGAGACGCTGCGGAGTCTTGTGAGCGGCGAGCGTCAATCTTTGGTTGCTTTCTGTCGCATTGCGGGGAGCTGCACATGAAGACCAGGCTTGCAGAGTTCCCGCGCAGCCCGGAAGCTGACACGATCCTCAAGGAAGACGCTTTCTTGCCCGGAAGGTCCTTTGTAGAAAGTGCTGCTGAGCGTCTCTGGACCCCGTCTACAGGACTACGTCAGCGCTCATTGGCGGGCCTGCGCGATGGAGTTCGTGAAGCTGCAGGAAGCAATGAAAGCTGCAGAAAAAAGACTGGACCGATTTGTTTTTTGTCCAGTAGTTCCAGTTTTTTGGTTGGGGCACAAGGAGCCCTCGATCTGACAGGAGCTGTGCCTGCATACTGTGCTATTGAACGATCGGGTGGGATTGGTTTCTTCCTGCCGTGCCGGGCAAGCCCGACCGTGGTTCAGGTGCGACTGCACAGCCGCATTTGTCCGAGCCAGTGGCCTCGTCATGGTTTCGAATCTGTCACGACAGGCTACGTGCTACAAAGTGTGTGTGTGTGTGCCAGAGATCTAAGACAGCTCTTAGACTCGTGGGGTGTTGCCAGGTCCAAAGCCCTCTTCAATGCGCCCGAGGGAGACACAATCAGCCGGAAGCTCATCCCAGCGTCAAGCTACGTGCGTTTGGTCCTTGACTCGAAGCTAGCGCAGACAGGCCTTGCTTGTCAGGGCTTGTGTGGGCCAGATTTTTGCACTCTGTCCGTCACATGTGTCGGCCGCGCTCTAGGATGAGTCTGCCAGACTTTTCCCCTCTTAGACTCTTGCTCTGGTGCTGCTGTATTGGCTTCAGCAGTGGAATCGGACCATTTCAGGCTTGTCACATCGCAGCCCAGATCCGCTTGAATCGGCTTGAAGCCTGCATGATCATGCCCGGAGTCAGGGTGAGCAACGCGGCTTTCGGATTGCGGAGGCCCTCAGGAAAAGAAGCCAGAGCTGGGACGGTGCGAGCCATGGGCAAACATCGCCGAGACCATGGGCGGGAGACCGCTGGCCAAAGGCAGCTCACTGGCGAGGCATCGCCCGAGTTACCTAGAGATACGATGGGTTTGTAGATTGCAGTTATCATAGTTATTATTTTATTCTGAGTAGTTAGTCTGGTATATCATTTTTACTTGGTGCTTCTTGAGGCTCCTCTTTTGAGGGTTTCCGTACTGAGGCTCCTTTGTTGGGGCTCCCAGGATACTTGAGGGGAGTCAGAAGGTAGGTATCGGAGTTACGAGTGCGATCATTTTCGGAGGTTGTGGGGTCGATACCAAAAGGCTGGGTGCCATCTTGCAAATGCCTGTGCCCATGCATAGGATTCTCAGTTCTGTTGATCTCGTTTCAAGGGCTCCTAGTTTCAGCCCCGCTTGACGAGGACGTCCAAGCCGAGTGGTCCCGGGCTGACGCGAGCCGCTTCCATGCATTTGCAAGGCCAAGGGGGCCAGAAGCCAACTTGGACGGACAGCCGGAGAGAACAGCTGTTGATCTGGATTGAGAACCTGTCGCTATCCGATTTCCCAGATAGCAATGCGGTGCAACTTCAGGTAGAAGCGCTTTAAACGAATGCAGCTTACATAGGCCTTGTCCAACAAATGGGATGAGCCCAGGTGCACCGAAGAAGATGCAACGCTGGGAGAACCTGGCTGCCCTTTCTGAGGCCAATGACCTGGTGGCCAAGGAGATCTGGTTGATTCGGGTGCTTTCGGAGTTCGGGGACGCAGTTCAAGGCTCGATATCTGCATAGAATCTCAGCTTCTACACCAATCTGTTACCTCGAGATCTGAGTTCCACGCAAGCTCGTGCCAGCAATGCCCTTCGGCCAGCAGGAGGCGTGGGATGAAAGCACCTTCCGAACATCTGCCCCGGGTGGCGACCTCTACACGCCCACGCCTCAGCTGCTGGCAGGGAGGACGTGTGCCACGCTGAGTCTGAGCGAGTGGAACCAGGCAGTGGCATCGGCTCTTTGCCTGTGGGACGCTGCCAGATGGCCAGGGAGCTGCGCTTGAGCCGCATGGCCGAAACGGTCTGAAAGCGCCTCGAAGTTGAAGGGACGGGAAGCCGAGGCTGCACTGGTCCGAGGAGGATGGCTACGGCTACAAAGTGACCTGGGTCAAAGGATGGATCGGGCCCACATCGCCCAAGGATTTCACAACGACTCGTGTAAAGCGAGACTACATCTTCAGCAACGCAGCTTGTGGGCTTCAGTGACCGTCCATGCTGCCGTCTTCGTCGCCATGAACGTGCTAGGGCTAGAGCCAATGTTCTGGACCGTCGCTTGGTTACCCTTTTGAGGGCAGTGTGTCCAGTTGCAGGACATGCAACAGCAGGACGAGCGGTCAAGCGCCGGTTTGGAGTTGCGGGGTGCCGGGGTGCGCATTACAGCGTGAAGTGGGATCCGTGAGCCCCGAGCGCCACTCGACATGTGTACACTGGATTTGCACTTGCCGTGGTCACTGCTCGTGTTTCGTGCGCATGGCTTTCATTCCGTATGGATGATCCGGGCTTGGTGACAGTGTGCCTGAATCAGAGGCAGCCGCACAATGTCACAGGCGGGCGGTGGGCCAATCGCAAGCAGACATGTTCCTCATGAGGGGCCGTGCCAGATCGTTGGATTCCAGACTGTGAGAGCTCTGCGGTGCCGAAAATGACGAGCAAGCGAAAGCATGGACGATTTAAGATCTTCTGATTCCCTTGCACGTGCAATCTGAGTCCCGGCTTCTTCGACCGTGTGTGGTGTGTGGGTGCGGGGTGTGGGTGTGGTTTTGTCGTGTCAAGGCAAGAATTCCGAATCTGGTCGCTAACCCCTAAACCCTAAACCCTGAACCGAATTCGTTTCGTGTGTCGCTCTGAGGCGCTTTCTGTGCTTGCGACTCCCAATCCTACTCGGTGCTCGGGACGGCCAAAGGCGGAATCTACTTCTTGAAGTGCCCTGAAGCTGTCAGGCATTCTGTCGACGGATCTTCACATCTGAGAAAAGCGCGGTCATGTGGCAAAACCTGAGTTCTGTATTCGTAGGTACCGGAGCGGCTTCACCTTGCGAGCCTACCAGAGGAGGACCCGTGAATGAAGAGCTTGTGGAAATAACTCTCTCGTGCAGAGCTTGTTGGCGCAAAGCATCCCTTCTTCTTCTTCTTTGTGTCATGTGTTGCATGTTATACATTATGATGACTTTTCAATCCTTGCGGAACTTTTCGCATTTTCAGTCTTCCCTCAGCATCGCACCGAAGCTCTGGGATTTGGGAGGCGGGAGGACATCGAGGAATGGCCTTCAGCAGCAGGCGCGCAAGCGAAGAACATGTCTCTTTTTGACTGCTCTGGGAGGGTTCAGGGTTCAGGATTTAAGGGCTAACTGGTACGGTTTAGGACGTATTGTGGGGGGTAGAGGGTTTAGGGTTTGGGGGTACGCGGTTTAGTGTGTGGGAGAGTTGTTGCTTGTGGTCTCGTCTGGAAATTTACATTGAATGCAATTGCTTACGACGTGTGACAGATAGTACATTATGCATTTGTCTACTTGGCGTTTGGGTCGAGCCGAAAAACCGAAGCTGCACATGATGGGCGTTTGGTAGAAAGGATGCTTGTTCGCTGTATTTCAGCCTGTTGTGATGAAGTAGACGTCTGATAATCTGCAGCGAAATCACAACAGAATACATTGAGCATGATGTTCTCGAGCTACAGGTAGCAGACATTATGTTCAATGAAGATGCCACAAGATCACACCAGATGAATGAGGGCTGTTACACCATGCTTATCTAAAGTGGATCAGCCAAGCAGGAGGATGCAACGCATTTCTGTGGTGCTGTTCGCTGTGTCTACAGAATAGTTCTGCCTTGTATACAGAGTACAGTCCGGTGCAGCAGAGCACAGTAGATTCTAGCTTTCATGCATACCATCTCATGGTTCTACACTGCATTGTTTTCCATTGTTTTCGATTGCAATACAAAGTTCAAGCACTTTGTGTTACTGCGGTATATCCACTTCTCGATGCTACATTGGGCTAGCATAGCCTGCCTACGACCAAGAGCTCTGTGCAGTTTTTGCCATGTGCCCCCAATCGGTCAGGCGGCGCGGCTGCCAGCTCGAGCTCGGTGCGCTTCCCCAGCGACTCTCCTTTTGGAACTGCGCTGGAACATGCTAGAACACACAAAAAACAGGTACAGCGGCATCACACTCCGAAAACATGACAAGTTTTGAGCAGTTCCATCTGGCACGTAGCACAACCTAGCGCAGCATGATTCAAGAGCGAGCAAGACCAAAGAGTATCAGAGCTGCAGCACAAGAGAAGAGAAAAACATTCAACTGTAAAGCAATCCAGTGTAGCATGTTTTCGCTCAGTGTGACATCGCGTTGTCCAGTGTAGAAATGCTGTTGCTGACCATGTTGCATGTGAAGTGGTGCAAAATATTTGTTGATACGATGTTGGAATATCGCAGGGCACATGGCGTGTTATTGATGAGGCGCTGGCATTTGCGGGGAGTCGTGTGCAGGCTCCGGGATTCACCTCGGAGATCGTCTCCTTCGAGGGTCCACCGAGCCCGGGCGTTGCAGGAGAGTGGCCGCTGATGATGACTCGTTTGGAGCATAGCGTGGTGTAGTCTGGGCAGGTAGACGTACATGTTTCGACATCTGGCCGGCATAGCTACTTTGCATGCTCCAGATGCTCTCTTGTCAAACGCTGTCACATCCACAAATGCATTCGCCATGCAAGATGAGACACTGCTTCCACCCCCTGCGCACCGCTATCCGTCGTCACCCGCTGCCCAGAGCCCCAGTTGAAGAGGAATCTGTCCCAACGAAACGTCAAGCACTGCAGCTCCTTGCAGATGCAGGAAGCTCAATGGAGCGCATCGGCAGCCACTGGCCAAGCTGCTCGCATCCACAGATGGAGTTTTTTGCCCTGCCGCCACCACGTTCAGGCCCGCCGAATAGTCAACTCCTCAGCACATGCTGTGTGACGTTGGCAGAGGTTTCAGTTGAAATGCGCGAGGAGCATGAGCAGCATGATAGCACGCTTGATCCGTTGTGGGAATGTGTTCCGCAGCCCCCTTGCTGGGCCAGACCATCCCAATGGCCCATGACAACTCTACCTCAACTCGATTGCCCAAGCTTTAGGTTGCGACAGGCACGACTTCCATCAACTTAACAAGACACCGCAGCTCACATACTTGTGAATGCCAGTGGGAACCAGCAAGCTGACTCCACGGCGACACCCCCCAACTCTCGCGCATACATTTGCAGTGCCCTGATATGCTGTGATGCTGACTAGTGAACAGTGGCACACACGGTGCGCAGTTGTGGCGGCGGGCCAACGCCGGCATGTAACCCTGACCTATCGGCCAGTGTGAGCAACTGCCTATGCCACCATAGGTTTCTCCTCTGAGCCAGCCATGCCGGCCTACGCCAAGCGCGCAAGGTCTCAGCTGTCTGTGCCTCTCGGTCTTCTCAGGTCCGATTAGACGTGCTACGCACTCGCGAAGCTGCTATAGTCCTGGCTACACTGGAGATGTCGAGCTGTGAGCCAGAAATGAGGCTGCGCCGGAGGCCGTTGAGCACCGTTCAGGTCTTCAGCCACGTGGTCGGGGTCCTCAAACTCATGGAATCGTCACCCTAATGCTGGCAGAATGTGTAAGTGAGTCCTTGTTCGGACACAGTGCCATGTTGGAAACAGCCGAGTGCGTCCAAGGCCACTTTCTACTGCATTGGATGCTTCGCCGTGCGAAGCCAAGTCCACGCGGCACCAGCGAATCTCTTCCAGACCCTTACTATTATTATTGTTATTATTACTATTATTGTAAATACTACTCAGTAACATTATTATTGTTATTGGTGTTAGTATTCTTGTTATTATTATTATTAATATTTGTACAATTGTTATCATTGTTGTCATTACTTTCATTATTACTATTACGATTACGATTATGATTATGATGAATATTATTTTCATTGATTTCACTCCTACTCTTGCCTTTTTTAAAGCTATTTCAAATTAGCATCGTTCCCCTGATTATCAAGCTTAAATAATTGTTGTTAGTGGTATTATTATTATTATTACTGTTGTTATTATTATTATTATTTATTGTTATTATTAGTATTATCATCATTGTTGTAAGAATATTATCCATTCCGCTCTGCTTGCGGCTACAGGGATTGGTGGTCCCGGCGTGGTGCAGCGGCGGGGCCGATACCTGGGGGCCGGTCTTGGTGCGGCCGGCCGAAGTTACGTTTCTGTCAGAAATAGTATAGGTACATTATCGTATAATCTGATATATGTATATATGTTGATATATATATATATATAGATACATACATGTATATATACATATATTTTATACATGAAGGCTCCTACTGTCAGAGCCTCAGGGCCCAGAAGGTGTCAGCTGCTGTCGGCTTCCTTATCGGCCTTGAGGGGGATCTTTGTTTCATCCAGCTGAAATGTGAGAACGCACCTAGCAGCTCAGCGTGGTTGACTCCAGCATTCTATCCCACAGCCTGAATTGTCGAGATGAAACCACAAAGTACGAGTATTTGCGAGTGCTAGGGACTTGAAGAACAGCTTCGGCTCCTGTGTTTCTGTACCTTATCGCAAACACGGCGCAAGAATGTCCGAGCTCCCGCTGAATGCCGCTAATGGACACCAACGACAGGGACTTCAATGAGGTCAAGAAACACCTCCATGACAACGACTCGGCATAGATTCGGCAGCAGTTCGGCCTAAGACGGCTGTCGCCAAACTTTCGCCTCTCGCGAGTCTTCCGCCGAATGTCCACAGCCAGTCTCTGCTGTCGTATAGCATTTGCGAGAAGCTAAGTGTCATGGCGTTCGATGTGGCCAAATTGTGCAGCAGGGAGATCGCGTTGGAGTATCCGCGTTGATGCACGCGGCCTGCTGGGGTCAGTCGCAGCTGGCCCTTCTTCTGCTGGCGTGCACGGGTAAAGGAGCTGGAGGCCTTTCAACTCGAGCACAAGAGAGCGAAGCGGCTGCATCATGATATCACGGGACCTTGCTAGTGGGCTTGACCGGGTGGGCCATGCGAGAAATCGGAAGAAATGAGGGGGTACGACTTAGGACCGGAGTGTGGAAATGGGTCTTATTCTGCGAACCGTAAATGGTATATTGCCAGTCCCCGAAGTGACAGCGGAGGTTTATGAGTGGTTTTGGTTGTCGGACAAGGAGCATACCCCGGGGCGGGTTGGGGGTTGGGGCTGAACCCAGGTTGTAACCCCGGGGGCCGGGTCGAGGGAAGGGGTCCAACAACCGGAACCTGAGGTTGTGGGTTCGGGTTAACCCCAACCCTAACGTTAGGGTGGGTTCAACCGCAACCTCAACCCCCGGTTCTGGGTCATGCTTCCTACTGCTTCAGCTTGGCTCGAGAATTCTCCGCTTGATCGGATCCTTTAGGAGATGCTTAGCAGCTTTGGCAGATCGGAGGTGCGTTGGCTTCAGGCTGAAGGGCTCTGGCAGCAAGCCCTCAGTCTCCTCGAGAATGCGAAGTCGGAACGCAAGCACGTGGATGCCGTCACCTACGGTGCGCTGGTGGGTGCGTGTGCCAGGGGACAGCAGTGGAGGCCTGCCGTGGCACTGCTGTCGGAAGCCGAGAGCTGCAGGCTGCACTTGAACGTGGTAACCTGCAACATGGCCATGGGCGCCTGTGCGACGGCAGGAGAGTGGCAGGTGGCTCTTGCTTTGCTCTCTGACGTGGCGGCATCTGCGGAGCCTGACCTGGTGACTTACAATGCTGCGATCAATGCCTGCAAGGAGGCAAGTACTTGGCACAGTGCCATGGAGCTCTTCCAGGATTTGCAGGTTAGCCGTCTCCAGCCGGATGCCTTCACACTCGGCGTCGTGGTTAGTGTCGCTCCGAAGCACGAGCATCGAATAATGCATGTAGTACTTGCCTTTCGAGAGGTACTTCGTGGAATCTTAGTGTCAAGCTTTTGCAAAACGCCTTCTATTTCAAGGCGTGCGAGATGGGAAGTCAGTGGCCACAGGCAGTGGAGTTGCTGTCGAGGCTCCCAGAAGGCGTGAACTGGATAGATTTTGTGATGCATTTCAGACGGGACATAGGGGGCCCGGCTCGTGTTGGGAAGCTTTATCGAGGAGTGCTGGGGTCAAGAGCATGTGCCGCAGACTGTGACTTTATAGGTGGCTAGGATTGAGAAGAGCCTTTCAGTCAAGTGAAGCAACGCCGAGACATGCATGGGCCTTCCGAATCAGCTTGAGAGGTGCCGGCGGAGATGCAGCCGTGGCATACAACAGGGCTGCATATGCCTGTGCAAAAAGCGATGTGTGGGAGCAGGCTCTTCAGGTGATATGCACGAGCACCAAGAAGCAGGTCCGGAGCTACAGCAGCACTTACAATGCATTGATAGGTGCCTGTGCGAGGCAGAAGGAGTGGTTGCAAGCTCTGGGTTTGCTCTCGATGGCGTGGGAGCAGCGGGTGGGCCCCGATCTCTTGGGCTACAACATTGCCATGGCTTCCTGCAATCAGTGTGAGCGTTGGGAGCAGGCCCTGGAATTGGGTCGGATGTTGCTGCGACAGCGGCTGCATGAAGATGCCACCACGCTGCAACTTGCCGTGAGTGCAGCTGAGCTGGGTAGCCTGTGGCTTGAGGCACTTCAGATGCTTGGTCCGATGGGTGAATTTTGCCGTTCTGTGTTGTTACGTTTTGCAGTATAACTGTTTTGCAGCACGACTTTTGATTCATACGGAATCTGGCCAGGCTTGTCGGAGAATTGACGAGCAGACGGCTGGAATGCCCTGCTTTGACATGCGGCCAAGCCATAAGCACATGCGCATCGCACGCCGCCTGGCAAGGTGCGCTGTATGTGCTGCGGATGCCAGAGGCAGAGGTACGAGGCTCCGTCATCGTGCAAACCAAAGCCATATCTGCATGTTCCCGAAGCCTTCTGTGGCAACGAGCTTTGTCTCTCGGCCGCGATGGCTCCGACTTGCATGACCCTGGCGGGCAGCCAGACTTGCTAATGTACATGACCTGGATGGGTGCCTTGGAGAGGGAGGCTGAGTGGCAGCAGGCAGTGCTTTTGCTAGACGGCCTGGTCCATCATCGGCTGGTTCCGGATTCCCTCTTGTGGTCCAGCTTCGTGAAAACCTGCGAGAATGCTGGCCCACCAGCATTGTCTTTCTTATCGCACAGCGATAGGTTAGATGGAGATGATGCGATGCTCATACTGGCCATAGCAGCAATGGGCAGGCCCAGCAAGTTTCTTGTTGATGTTCTCCACCCAACAGAATGAACCATCTTTTGTTTTTGTTCTCTCCGTCCCTGAGGAAGGGCGAGTGGGAGCGGGCTCTGCACGTGCTTTATCGACAAGTGCCCGGAGCAACTGCAAGCGTGCACAATGCTGCCATAACTGCTTGCTCTGCAGCTTCTCAGTGGGAGAGGGGCCTGCTACTCTTTGCATCGATGAGTGACAAGCAGGTGAAGATGGATGCTATAACCTTTGGAGCTGCAATGCGAGCTTGCTCCGAGGCTGGTTGCTGGCAGCTTGCACTGGACATCTTTGGGCAGATGGATCAGATGCAAGTGGAGAGGGATGCAATAAGCTTCAATATTGCTATGGGCGCCATGCAACCAGCTGGGCAGTGGCAAAGGGCTTTAAGTCTGTTTTCGGACTTGCGGGCGACCACCACGGAGCCAGACCAAATTGCGTGTGCATCATGCGTTCGAGCTTGTGCCGAAGACACTTGCTGGCAAAGGGGACTACAGCTACTGTTCGAAACTGGTCCAGCGGTCCTCGACGAATCTCTTCGGAATGCAGCGATCAGTGCATGTGGCAAGGGTGGTCAGTGGCGTGTAGCAATGCAGCTGTTGGCAGATGGCCGGAATCATCCGGGCAGGGTCAGTCTTGTGACCTACAATGCAGTCATGAATGCATGTGGGGTCGGTTCGGAGCCATCGATGGCTATGGCTCTGTTCGAGCGCCTGCCTGAGCAGTCACTCCAGCCGGACGAGTTCACTTATGCCACTGTAATGGAGGTGTCGGGTGCGCGTGCATTGGCCTTGCTGAACCAGTTTGAGATGGATCACTTGCAGCCGAGCTCGGTGGTATGCACAAGTGCCATGCAGGGCTGCAGCAGGGGATTACTGTGGCAAGAAGCAGTGACGCTGTTCTCACGAATGCAAAAGACAAACTTACAGACAAACTTGATCACCTTTAACACGCTGCTCGATGCATGTGCGAACGGTGGGGAGTGGGAGGGAGCACTGCAAGTGCTTGGCCAACTCCGAGATGCAATGCTCGAGGCAAGCGGTTGCTTATCTGGACCTTGGTGTTCGCAATTGTGTTTACTTGTATACAAAAAAAGCAAAAGTGTCAGATGGGATTCGCTGCATCTATCGAACATAGTTACAAAGCAGCCTCTGAACGAGGTTCTTGACATCGAGTGTTCGTGAAATGCACAGCACAGCAGCCGCAACAACAACTCCAGCAACACCGCCAGCAGCGACGACTCCAATCTCAACACAAACAGCTACGGTACCAACAGCGGCAGCAACAACCACCGCAGAGCAATCAACAGTACTGCAACGGCCTTTGAGGCTTCTCTTACGTCGCCGTGATGCAGGCAACGGCAAGGGCCAACCTCTGGGAGACTGGCTTGTGGCTTGGCGCAGAAGCAGCGGCAAGGGGCCTCCGTCGGAGGGTTGTAGCCTTGATGTGGCTCAGGGTGAAAAGGTTATTGCCTCAAACAGACATAGACATAACAGCACAGCAACATAGTTTAAGATAGATTATGCACGGAGGGAAACGCAGTGTAATCTTCGACGCCCAAGGCACATCCTTGCCGACATGGAGGAACAAAAAATCAAGGTGACGGTGATGTTGCGCAATATTGTGTTGAGTGCCTGCGCAAGTGCTGCGTGCCTCGTCGGCATTTCGACGCACCTGCAATGGTAGAGTTTAGGTTTTCTAGCAAGGTGTTTTGGCTTGAATTGAAGAGGGCCCCGCAGTGCGAGGGTTTTGGGCAGCCGTTGCAGTGCAATTCTCAGGCCCTGTTCTGGTAATTGCGGCTGGTAGTCTGAGGTACTGGCAGACTGCGATGCGACTCCTTGATGGTTTCCAGCAGTCGGGTCTGGAGTTGAGCACGGTCTCCCACGACACGGTCTTGGACGCCTGTGCGAACCTTGGGCAGCAGAAGAAACAGCGGCCCTTGTGAAGACTCCTTTTTTGTTGTGCCAGCTTGATGAAACGTGCTTGGAGTTAGTGGTTTCCGTTTCGGAAGCCCCCTTCACGAAGGGCACCCGAGCCAAAAGGCATCTAGCCCCCAGGCTTTCCTGATTTCTGGAGACCTCACTCAGGAGAGCTCTCCAGTGGGAGCGTGGTCTGGTTATGCTGGACAAGATGTGGTCAGCGAAACTGGAGAGGGACGTGAACACCTACCAGCGCATGGTGGGACTGGGAACGGCTGTGTCAGGTGATGCAAGTTGCTATGATAAGGGTTTGGTTTCGGGAAGTTCGGACTTCCTGTGGTGGCTCCCATGCGGGTCCAAAGGTGTGGAGCGCATGTGGATGCTTTGGGCTCGTTTGAAGCAGTTTGTGTTGTTTCAGTCGACCGGCCTCGGAGTAGTGATCCCGGGACTTTGCTTGAGGTGGCATGGATGCTCAACAGCGCATAGCGGTCGCCGCCGCTGTCTTGAGCGTCAGCTGAGCAGGATGGCCTTCAGGTCCCATGACCCCAAGACCAAGCCCTAAACCTCCCCAAACCCTCAACTGCCTCAACCCTCAAGGCACAAACCCGAAACCCATAAACCCGAAGCCCTAAGCCTGTAGCGGAATTTTCCAGGCCACCGGTATTGGACCTGAGGATGCATGGCAGTCGTCGAAAAAGCAAAGAGAGACCCAGATCCTTTGACGCGGGGCACAGGGGGACTTGTTCCAAATGGCAGAAAGCATGGCGACATGGCACAGTGCTGCATAATAAGCATAATATGATGCAGTGTCCTGTCACAATCTCGCTCTTCTACAAGGATCCCTAAATCAATTGCTCTTTTTGTCCTTCAACTTTCCCTGGCCTGTGATCAAAAGCAGAGTTGGTAGATCCCGAGTTGACTTATCGAAATGTATAGAGCATGGAGACGCCTACAAGTCCATACGCAGTCCTCATGAAGGTGTTTATGCTGACAGATCTACATGATGTCAAGAAAATTTAGCGTTGCAGAGCCTACCGCCTCAGCACAGCTGAGGGCTATGCCAAGATGCTTGAAACTTTTTCCAGATTGTTCTTGGTCTTTTCAGCTCAATTTGACATTGGCGCAGTTGCCCGCTTTCCTGATCCAACTGTATATGTCAAGCATTGCTCTCCTGATGTTATTTACGCATTGTCCACGAACTTGGGCGACACCTGCAGCTGCAAAATCACTTCGAACGGTTCTTTGAGGAGATGCAAGGACAGGGAGGCATACATTGCTGCAGCGATCTGTTCAATGTGTTGCTCCTGACTCATGGAGAGTCTGTCTCCTTGCATGATGATCACGTCTATCTGCATTTGGGGTTCGCTCCTTCAAGTTGCTTCATGAGTCGTCTGTACGAAGCCTGCAGCAACCTTCAAACTGTCGCGAAATTCATCGAACAACGGCTGGTGGTAATCCGGCCTCCATCAGTCCCAATACTCATGCACAGCAGCCAGGTTGCCATTTTCTGGTTCGTCTTCGTTGCCGATCTGTCGCTGTATGGTACTCTGGACTGCAAGCCAGGGGCTGCGCAAGGTTACTTCTGAGGGATGCGCCGTGGCCTAGGGCTTTGTCGGGGCGGCCAAGGTTGGATTCTCAATGTGGATTGCCGCTACGTTGAGGCTCCCGCTGCGCATCCCGCATGGACTCGCGTCGACACTCTTCGAAAACGCAAGGCTCTGCCAGGCATGCCGGACAGTTACTCGGGCAGCGAGCTGGGTTCTTAGCTGGTCCTTCGGCTTTCGCAGTTTACAGTAGCTGTAAAGCAGCTGTCGCAAAACGGAGATGTCGAGAGGCTGCGTTGTTCCTCCGTGCCGATTTTGGTCTTCGCTGCTCGAGGTCTCGGCAGTGCGACGACTGTGGTACTCATGTGTCACATCCACGCGTACCTTGGCTGCGATCGTGCACGCGCGCCAACCACACACCAGGGGTGTTGTGTGTCTGCATGTTATTTCAGTTCGGTTCCTTCTTGCTGTTTGTGAACCGATGTGTTTGCAAGACAGGCTGACAGGCATCTATGTATGTCATGCTGTGATAAGAGCACTGAGGTGAAGCATTGCCAAAGCTGTGGCTGGTGTATGGAGGTTCCTGTCTTCGATGCTGATTATTGTTCTAGCGTCTTATGGGTAGCAGTGTAGCTTGAATCAGCGTGTGTGGTGCACGTAAAGATGAGGACTCCAAAAGTCCACGACGCATGGGATCAGCTGCAAGCAAATTTGTAAGATCAGAGTCTTGCTCAGTTGTCTCTGCTCGGCTCTAGTGGCTCTTTGAGCTTCAGGCAAGGTACAGGCATGCAGTTGAACCATATCCATGCCCCCCTTACCATGAATGTCGTATCCATCCCCCCCGGTCAACTAAACATCACGTCCGCCCGTTGCCCCGCGGATGGCCACTCTCTTGGAGGAATTCCTTGCTCATCAGGGCTGCTTGCACCTAGCGGAGTGCCTGCATCGCACTGGGGTGAAAGATGGAAAGCTGTAGAGGTGTTGACGGTGAGTTCCGCATGGAGGCAAGGACGCCCCTCTCATCACCGTGAGAGTGGTCACCCTTAGCGGGAAATCGCTGTGTGAGCTTCGGCTCCCAGTGTGCATCTGTACAGAGGACGGGCTAAGTGGAAAGCACGGCAGCACGGCCCATGACTCTTCTCAATGATGCTATGCCGCATATGCCATTAGAATGGCTCTTTGTTTTGTAATCTCCGGGTTCCGCCCTCCACATGCCTAAATGCTCTACCCCACTCAAGCAGCTGCTCCGCGAAGTGCAGGACATCTATGACTTGACCTCAGCGGCATTTGGACCCTCTGCGAAGTTCAGCCTATCCTACGAGGCAAAGAGTGAGTTCTGAGCGTCGTTTCCACTATTTTCCACTAAAGCCGGTCTCAATAGACTGAGTGCTGCTGGCTTGCGGCCGCCGGGCGCCAGGGACAACTCCTCACACGACTCGCGTCACTCGAACGGCCATTCCTCAACGCTACCGGTGACTCCGTGGTGGTTCATTGCACGGTAGGCCAGGGCGCTTAGAGGGCCTGGACTTTTGGTTCAACAGGGAGAGGGTGGAATCTTAACCAGTGAGTCTTGCAGGCTGCTACGACGAAACCCAGCTCTCGATTTTCGACGACTGCCTCGGTTTCGGCTGATGCCCTGTTTGCTTGAATTCAAGTTGCTCCATCTCTTACAATGCTCCCATGCCCAAGGCCTTACAAGCCTGGTTCGACGCGGGCGCCACAACTTTGCAATGCAGCTGGGCTTCTGGGAAGGGTCGAAGTTGCCTTCTTGGGTTCACGTGTCACAGAGCCTCATTGGTGGGAGCACAGCTTCATTGGTTGGACTCGGTTTCGGATTTCTCTTTAGCGGGCTCTGAGGAAAACTTTCCATCTCAGGTTTGCTTTGGACTCCTCTTCAGACATGAAGGACCTGGGCGAACGGCTCGTTGGATCTGTGTTCAGCATGCCTGGGTATCTGCGTCGCGGTCGCTTATCTGCCTGGGCAAGGACCTCCTGGCCCAAAGCGAAAACAAGGAGCAACCGTGGCTCGTAATATCTCAACAGCAGACGCTCGAACCCCTCTGTGCTGGTTCCATCGCGTCAGATGTGAGAAAGTGTTTCTGAATTGCTCCACCGAGCCTGGCTCTGATCTCCAGGAGCTGCTCAGCTGGGTCGCCTACACCTCGGGCGGAGCACGCAGCGGCTCCTTTCCTCAAAAATGGCCAAACTGGCGAAGTGGTGAAGCAAAGTGTGAAGCGTCTTGAGGCGGCGTTGCTAGCGGCCAGCCGCTGCCCGGAGCTCTGGGGCTGCTGTGGTGCCCCGGCGGCACAGCTGCTACTGGTAGAGACCCGGGAAATCAACCAGCAGAACACAACTCCAAGCCCCGAGTGATGGCGGCGATGCTGTGTGGAAGGAGACGTGCCCCATGTATGTGTCAGTCATTCCAGGCAGCACTCACGTGGCAGCGCTGTGCCTTCAGCCCAGGCGCCTGATGCGATTGTGCCCACAGCAAGTCCGTCGCCGTGATCCGGAAACAGGTATGGTGGCATTATACCATGTTATACTATATCATGTGATTCTATTCTTTATATAACTTTTTTGATTCACATAATGTTGCGTATTCTAGGGCTTGAGGCTTCCAGCGTCCAGGGCTCTAGTAGGAGTTCCGGGCCCGAGCCACAGGACTCTCAAAGCCAACGGGGCATTTTTTTGAGGTATCCTGGAATTCTTGTAGTTCGCAGAGCAACGCTCAAAGAGGCCCGTCGGCAAAGATATGACAAGAGCCTTCCATGTGTATACCGTAAATTCGCCACCGCGCCTCACACCATGAATCCTAAAGCTTGGATGTCCTATCATGCTCGATAGCTGACTGTCTACCTTTCATGGCTGCAGTTTCTTCCTGGTTTGGTACAGACTCGGCCAATATCGTATTCTGAGTAGAATTGAGTCCTGAAGAAACGACCCAACTCTCAACAGCAACCAGGCAGACGGCACATGTGCGAGCGCCCTGGATGCGCCAGGCAAGCTGCCGCTGCACGATGCCGCCTGGGGCCACGCACCCTTCGAGGCGAGGTGACAAACTTCTGGCGATGTTGGAGATGAGGAGGATTCTTGTTCGGGATGCTGAGCTTGTTAGGGGCGGGGGGAAGTGGTCACAGTGCCGGTGTGGCAACAGTGACAGTGGCGGTAAATGCATACAACATGCGCACTTGTCACTTCTCTCCCACATGGTCTTGGGGAGGTAGTGAGATTTCAGGACTGTTCTGGTATCATCAGGTTATCAAGAACTGTAGCGAGGTCAGGTGAAGCACTCGTGACAAGCTGGACATGTAGGAGCCCTAAATGAAACTCGTTAAAGTTGACGGTTGGCAGAGCATACTTCATCCGGTTTGATCCGCGATGCCACAGGCAGCAGTTATGCTAGCCGCGGCCATGCCTTCAGCGCTGACGGACTGGTGCGGCACGTTCAACTCAGCCTTTCAAGTCTTTGCACAATTTCTCCAAGATATTCATTCACTTTTTTCAAGCACCTGTGTGTGCTATCTGCAGTTGCGGACATGTGTTCCAGCAGAGGACCGCAGGAATCGCAGCAGGGAGCTGAGATGCACTTTCGGTCTCGCCTCTTTTAGCAGAATCCGGGGCTTCGAAGGGCAGTATAGGGCCTAGTATAGGGCAGTGACATCAGTGGGGCATGGCGAGTCAGGGCTGAAAACTAGATCCCCAAACTGGACAGAGACTATCTAGGTCCAAAGCATCACGCCTCCCCGAATAAGACTTGTAAGATGCCTTCTCGTCGCCGAGACCTAGAGTCACCCCATGACGTGGGCCGTTACGTCCACGCCTGGCGCTTTTCCTGGCCGGAGGTCTCCTTCATTGAGGTGGGGTCGCGTGGATTCAGTCTCGACATGCTCCTTATTTTTGCACATATCGTAAACATACGAAAGTAACACATTTTCGCAGCGATACAGAAATCATTACGACGAATGGAAATTACGAGAGCTCCCTCTCTGGGAGCCTTCGTTTGAGGTCCAGCCTTGCTGATCGGCACGAGGGGATGCCGCAGCAGGAGTTGGGGCATTTTTATGGCGGGGTGGGGGAGGCCACGTTTCAAGCGAAGAGGATCCATTCTGATGCTCATGATGCTGGTTTGGACTGCAGCTTCGGCAGCTCTGGCGGTCCAGTTTGTGCTTTTGTGGTCTGCCGCGTTTGACCTGCACGTCATCTGCTCTGCAGGCTGTGCCTTCCGCTTCTTGATCTTTCGTCGGACCGGTTTGTGTTATGCATCATACGGCTATCATATGCCATGTACACTCGTCGCTTTCCTTTGCAGACCCCGCCCCAGGTTATCTAGTCACATACTATCATAACAGCTAACTGGCACATGTATATCTGTATATGTATATATATATATATATGTGTGTGTGTGTGTAGATGTGTACGAATATAGAAAGAAACACACAGACACTCGCTGTACGTGATGAAGGCCAGGGCGATGGTGTTGCGACAAGCTGGGCAGCTCATGTCGAAGCTTGGTCACAGATCCCATGTGGGGGTTTCCGAACATATGGGACCCTAATATAGTACCCTAAATAGTAGGCTCCTCATTATAAGGACCCCAAAATAAGGTACCCTAATCGTCGGAAACTCCCATGTCGAGGTTTCCGAAGAGTAAAGCGTCCGCGCTAGGGGGGGTGTGACTTTCGGGGTCCCTAGTGTCTGAAACTCCCATGCCTTCGGAGTGGGTTGCTCCGAGGAAGTTGACGCAGCTGCGGCGCTCGCTGCGGCGCGCAGGGGGCCTGGAGGTTGCAGAAATGTGCGTATTCACGGCCCACGGCTCCCACTTCACGGCTCCCTCTCTCCGTGTCCCTGTGTTTTGTCGTCTTTCCCCGTCTCTCCTCCCCATCTCTCCCTCCTTTTTCCGGCCGGCTCGTCAACTTGAGCATGACCCGACCCTCGGCACTGCTTTTCAATTTAGGAGGTCATCCACTTCAAGGGGGGAGGCGTCATCCAAACACGAGCCTTTCTGTTGAATACCTCACGTGGACACTGAGGACACCCTCCCGGCACTTCACATTGA